AGGTGTTCACTTTGGAGCTATAAGCTTAAGATTTTGATCAATTTGAAAAGATCCAATGCATCATTAAATTTATCAATACAAGTATAGGTTGTAATAAGCTTCACTAATGTGTTGAGTAGTACTTTTAGAATTGTAAACTAAAGCATATCTACGTTTTGAGTTGAATCCCATGTGTTTGAAGAACATGAAGAGTGCTCCACTAGAACATCATCTATTGAAAGTTTTCTTCTTAGATAAGTGCTTTTATAGACATGTGTAGATATTGACCTAAATAGTGTTTGTTTAGGAGTTGTTCCTTGAATGACTTTAACCAATTGTTTGTATATTTTCTGTGACAACAACACTAGTTGAGCTAGTTAGATACATGAAAAATTAGACTGGAAAAAATCAAGGAAGTTTGAAATGTGAATATGGAGGCGAGAGGGCGATGACAAATCTTGCTCTCATTTCTTCAGATTTTAATCACACTCACGCCATATCCCGATCAGAAGTTGAGATTGCTGAGTCTGTGCTGAATGGAACTGTGCGATGTTGAGAATGCATCATGTTGTGTGGAAATATTTAAATTAGTCAAGTTGTTATCCCTTCATCTCGTCTATATTTGTTGTCGCAACGATGCGCAAGCTCAGTAGCTATTGCGATGAATTGCAGTGTCGAGACCAGGGCTTCCAGAGCACCAGTGAACGACGCAGCAACATCAAGTCTCTGGCTTCCATATCCGACCAAGGATTAAAGAAATCACGGCCGCTTCAACCGCACCGGCAAGGTTCTGACGCTGCAGACTGCCTCGTTGGCGGCGCATCGTTCATCACGCGGCCGGTCGATTCGGTCACATTGTTCTTGTGATGTATGCATCGTAGATGTGGAAGCCCCAGATTGGTCGATGGTAGTTTCCAAGATCGATATTATTCTAGTTGTTAATGTCAGGATGACAATGCTACTTATGGCTGAAAAGCAGCTCCGAAGCTCAAGTTGACGTTGGAGGATAGAAAGAAGGGACGTGGGCGGAAACAGACCTGGACAAATCGAAAACGGAGATCTGGATGCCCATAGATCGAAGCCCCTCCAAGTCTGGATCCCACCAACGGAGTAACAGCCCAAGTCACCGCGGTAGGACCATGTCTCTGAACTGATTTCTGGGTCTAGCAAACTCGGTTTACCAAATGTCCTGCCTCTGTGATCCTCAGATTTGCGCCTCAAGTCCACCACCTCAGTTGACGTTGTGCCAGCAATTCTGCCTTGGCCGATGCATCGAGGCTGTATGGGCCTTGAATCTAGTCATTCGGAACCCTTCTGCTGCATCCGGCTCGTCCACAGATTCGGTCCAAAATAGTATGATGCTACATCATGAAGGTGACGACTTTGGCCAGAGAAACTTTCTATAGGTTTGCGCGTCCCGATCTAATTCTAGCGATTCGATTGTTTAGTAATACCGATTACGGAAACTTTATAACGCCGATATACTGTTCCACATTATCGCCACATTTTTCTAGGCTCCTGATGGCTTGTCCCCAGCTGAAAGAAATTTCCGACCTTAAGCCACAGAGGCTCTGATGAGATGTTGTTTAACAATATCCGATTTCGTAGTAGGTATTCTGGTTTCCCTAATTAACTAAGCCAGGTTAGTGCTATGTGTACACATGTCATATCCATAGCAGTATTTTTCTCTCCACAACCATCATGTAAAAAGCCGCCAGGTATGTTGACAAACTGCAACACACACAACACAAAAAAAAAAAAAAAAAAAAAAAAAAAAACGAGGCATGAGATTTTTTTTTACTATTATTTTTATTTTTGGGACACTAAGGGTTTTTAGTTCCTGCCAAGAGGCCGAAGTGGAAAGGCATGAGATTTTGTGCTTTCTCCGGATAGGATTCTCCTTTCTTCCTCTCAATGCAAATTGCTATGCTTTAAAGGGATTCTAAGAAGCTGTTCCAGAACGAACACATGTATATGTAAATATACAAATACATATATAGGGCACCGTCCCAAGTGCATTGCGTCATCCTGTTTGGTGGTTCAAGATTCATTTCGGAAGCCTTTTACAAGTCAAGACAAACAATAAAAAAGAATTCAGAAAGCGACACTACGTACCACGGATCGTGACAAATAAAGGTTGTACCGAGTTTGTGTGTGGAAATCTATAGCGAGATGTCATTTCTGAGTCAAAGTTCATCCTCAAGCAAAAAAGATGAATATTATAATAATAATAATAATAATAAGAATAATATATATATATATATATATATATAAAAAAAAAAACATCCATGTCGTGCGAGTTGTGTGCAAAGAGTCGATGTTTCAAGAGATGAGGGCCCACGCATTAGTGATGGGACCCATGACCGGTTTGAAAGGAGCCCAGTCCAGGTGGAGCCGTATCCAACGCTTTTAAAGCGGGTCATGCCGAAACTACATCATTGTAAGTAGCTATTTGTGTTACCTCTGTAAAGCTGAGACACTTCACTGTTGTTAAGAATAAGCTTCAGAAACTTCTTCTCCGGGCTTAGGTCACGGGGTGATTATACTCCCAAGGTTTCGGCATGACTGACAGGCAAGATGAATATCAGTATGTGGCAAGTTTCTAGTAATCGCTGTTTTTCTTTGAGATCTCTGTGAGAAGATGGAGAAATTCTTGTATCTGCAGGAAATACACCATACTTTTTGTTTTTACGTTTTGTGAAGTGGGTTTGTGGTGGCTTCACTGTAAAGTGACACTTCAATATTTTTCCTTTGTTCATGCCATGCCATTTTCGTAATTGATCTAATTCAGGAATTTTTCATTTTCTTCAAAAATCCAGCTCAGATGTGCCACATGATTGGAGGATTGGCGTCATATGGGATAGAAACCTACGTGTCTCCTTTTACTTCCAGTACAGCTGGAGATGCAGCGACAAACCCTTCTCAACCAGAAGTATAAACATATAAATAAAACCCCGAAATAATGTTTGAAGGTAACACTACCTTAAGCTCAGGAAACATGTTTCGTGAATTTCACCAACTGCATTAAGCCTTTGAATATTCTTCACTCATTTGATCTTCACATGCCTTCTGTATTTTCTCCCCCCCCCCCTTTTTCTCTTTTTCTTCCTTTGTAAAATACTTCTTTTAAGGGGAATATTATGTAGCCTTGTTCTGCAACTATGCGTGTGTGGTACAAAGCCATTGTCAGAGTCCCCAATGACAAAGTTGTATGGCTTTTGCATATTATTCTCATTGTCGTTTTCTGAATCCTAAACGATCTTTTGAATTTAGATGATTTTTGTTATTATTATCATTATTATTATGATTCAAGTTTTAAATCGTAAATTGATATGTTGCTTCAGACTTTAAACAAGTACTGTGGGGTTTCAAGTTGTGGATACCCCAAAAGTATTCCAATAGTTTCAATTTCACCAGATGCATATATTTTTATGGCTAAAATAAGCCAGTGCTTGCACAATCAATACAGCAAAAGTTTTAGTTTTTGGAACTATGAAGCACCAAGATGAATAACTGTGAATTACTTACTTCCATTCACAGATCTCTCCCTACCTTCTAGCACACTAAGAAAGATCAAGGACTCCTCTTTCTTTTCACAAGGAGACTATGAATTGCAAGTCTTTAAGATCTTCTAATGGTGTTAAGTTATTTTCATTATATCTGACTCATAACTTTTAATCAATATCTTCAAGGACAAAAACACAATTTAATATTTCAAGCACAAGTAGAAAACAACATGCTGGCAATAGAAATAATTGTAATGTAACATATCAATGTAACAAAAGAATAATGTCAAAAGATTTTAAAAAATCTAAGTTACAAATTAAATAGTACTTAAGGAGAATTGATAAAATATAACTTTGAATTGTGCATACCTTAACTTAAGTACTATTCAAACTTAACTGGGGTCAAAGCTTGGTGTTCACTGTTGAAAAATGCATAGCAGTTTGTTATCTCAAGCCAGATTGAAGGTGTGAAGGCAAAAGAACCCTCCCCCTATTTTTATTATGGGATGTGAGCCCTCAATTTCAGAGCTTGGAGTTGAGTTTCTAAAGCCATACCATAAGAGATGATTTGTTATATTTGCTCCAAATGAAGCATGCAACAATGAAGTGTTCTTGCACGTATTGCTCCTCAATTGCAACCACCTCCTCTGATATGTGGATGTGTTTCTGTTGTGTCTTGATTAGAAAACTTCAATAGGTTCTCGCATACCCTATTAGAAGACCTCCACCTATTGTTGATTTGGTTGAATTAATCTTTGCATGGCCTCCTTGTGTGTGACTCAACAATGTGAGGTCTACTTTGGATGCATCAGTCATAGTCTTGTTTCTCTGGGTATTTGATAATTCACTAGTCATTGCATTACAGTTTGCCCCAATACATGGGGGGGGGGGGGTACATTTGCATAACTGGTTGGACCCATAACACAGTTTGAACCCTAGCCCTAAATAACATGTCTCTGATGACTATTCACATCCTACTCTAGGGTGAATTAAAATGGGGGCTTATCCTCATTAACAATCAAAGCACAGGTTTTTAATTAATGAGAAAGTTTTATCTAAACTATGCCAGAGTTAGCTGGTCGTTCCTATGGCACTAATTAGAGCTTGCAAAACACCATTGATCAGCAACATTGCACTCTCACCAAAAATGCAGAGCTCACTATGTGACCTGCTTGCTACTAATACTGTGCACCTCCAAAGGCCCAACTTCCATGTAGGACTTTCTCCACATAAATAGTAGTAAACAGTGTTTGGATGTGCCTAGGTGGACACAGAAAAATCCACCTCAGGAAGGAGGATGGCTTTTTCCTTTCGAGCCTCTATTCCAAACCTCCTCCTACCCTCGGTTCGGAGTCTCCGACCTGCCTATCTCCGACCTAGTAACGGACCCACCCACTCCGGCAGGGGACCCGCCTGTAGCGTGAGGGGACGCGGGAACATTCATCCACGGCGGGGGTCCTGAGCAGCGAGTGAGCGAGCGAGGGTTTTGATCGCGTTTGCCTACACCTCTAGTTGCGCCTCGGTCTCTACTCCTGGATCAGTGCGTTGGTCTCACTCCGCCCTCCCTCCCTCCCTCGCATCGGCAATCGTCGGGTGACATTCCTGTTCCTACTGCTGTTTGGCCCATTCGTCCACTCGGCCCATCTCCACTGACTTCCCCAATTGAGATCAGATGGTCTTGTAAGGCAGAGAGCGAGCGAGAGAGAGAGAGAGAGAGAGAGAGAGATTGGGAGTTGAGGCGAAGGGGAGGTGTCGGAGGGGATTTATTGTGCCGTAGCTGGGTTTGCAAAAATGTGTTCTATTCCGTTCGGTCGGAAGAAGTCCAAGAAGGGGGATTTGGCGCAGGATCTATTGGGGGATGTGTTCTCGACTTACAGCGAGAATGGGAAGCTGGACGCCGAGGGGTTGCTGAAGTTCTTGCAGACAGAGCAAGGGGATAGCAAGTCCTCTCTAGATGACGCCAAGCATTTAGTGGAGTTGATTCGGAATGAGAGACATAAGTCGAAATTCCCTGGGTTCATCGTCAGCTCGGACCTGTCGAAGGGTGATTTTAAAAACTATGTACTGAGCCCGGATTTGAATGGGGTTCTTGAAAGCACTGTACGTCTCTTTTTTCTCTCTCCTTTCTGATCACCTTTGTAATCGTCATGGCAATGCACTCGCACTCACCACCCATGCATGAGTGGCCGGTAATGTTGTGATCTGATAAATTTCCCACATTCTGCTCTAGTTTCTTTTTTCTCGTGCGAGGGTGAGTATGATAGCCGTCGGTTACACTGTGTTCTACAGGTGCATCAAGACATGACGCAGCCGTTATCGCACTACTTCATATTCACTGGTCACAACTCGTACTTGACGGGTAACCAGCTTAGCAGCGACAGTAGCGACGTTCCCATTGCTGCTGCACTGCAACGTGGCGTGCGGGTGGTGGAACTGGATTTGTGGCCTGACGATAAAGGCGGCATCAAGGTCACTCACGGGAAGTAAGTGTTGCCCCATTTAGTGTCTGGTGTTTTATTCAGTACTATTCCGAAAGTAGTGTTTTTCAGAGTCAGGATATTGGTGATATTATATGGCTATTGCAACGAATGGCCCTAGAATTCCCACTTCTATGACTGGTTTGCCAAATTAAACTGTAGGAACTTTATCACTTTGACAACTATCAAAGTTGGGAATAGCTGATCGTGTCGGCACTCTATAAACTGTTGAAGGTATCAGTAATCCGAATGCCAAGTTATATTGTAGGCTATTCATTATCGTATTGTGTTGGACTGGCTTAGAGCTGTTGTTTTTCGTAATTTTGAAAAATTTCACGGAAACTCTTGGATACGTCTAACATACTAGTAATTTTTTGTTCAGCACACTCACCAGTCCAGTTGCTTTCGAGAAGTGCATAAAAGCCATCAAGGCCAACGCGTTCGTCTCCTCGAAATATCCTGTAGTTATCACTCTTGAGGATCATCTTTCAAGTCCTTTACAGGCCCTTGCTGCAGAGGTTTGTAATTTTCCTCAACATGGCTTTTTCCCTCAATTTTGGATGGTGGATGTTACTCCGATAGTATTACCCCTTGCGTGTGGGACGACGACAGGCAAAGTTAATTGAGGAAGTCATAATCTGACAGTGCGGCATCTCATTTCTACAGACTTTGACGAACATTTTGGGAGAGGACTTGTACTATCCACCCTCATCCGATGGGTTTAAAGAACTGCCTTCTCCGGAATCATTGAAAGGGAAAATTCTAATATCTACCAAACCGCCGAAAGAATACCTTGAAGCCGCTGTCGCACAGAAGTCGGCGTTGAAAGATGAAAAGATTTTGAATGAGCTCAAGAAGGCAGATAAGTTGCAGGAGCAGTCAACTGCTCCTGTTAAAAGCCCCGTTGAGAAAAAGATTGCAGTTCCACCATCAGAGAAGACAAAATCCATTTCCGAAGAGAAGGACTTGAGTGAAAAAGTTGGAAATTTACGTGTTGATTCAGAGGTACTGTAATCCGACTTTTATGGCATGTCTATTTACCCATTTCTTGGAAGAGTTAAGTTTCTACCGCCTCTAATAGCTTCCAATGCGGTACCTAAAGAGATTTCCTAATTGTTTTCATCAGGGTGAATCAGCTGATCCTGCCCCTGCAAGTTCCCCCGACGGTAAGAAAGCAACATTGACAGCGGATAGTGAAAGTGACGATGACGACAATAAGAAGAATCCTGAGTATGCTCGGCTTATCACTATCCACCAATCGAAGCCTTCGAAAGGAACTACCGTGGAAGACAGACTGAAAGTTGAAGGGACAGTGGTACGGATTAGTCTTTCAGAGACTAAGCTGGAGAAGGTCACTGAAGAGTTTCCTGAACTTGTGGTCAAGTAAGGCAGCAGCTTCTCTTTCTTTCTCAATTTTGTTTTCACTTTGAACTGTGGCACATGTTCAATGATAGTGAGAACAACACCAAGCTAGTTGTTGCTGTTTCTAAGATGATTACACTGTTCTATAGGTTCACGCAGAGGAACATTCTACGTGTGTATCCTGCTGGTAACCGAGTAAACTCGTCCAACTATGATCCTACTGCGGCTTGGATTCACGGAGCTCAAATGGTGGCTCAAAATATGCAAGTAAGGCCTGTTGTTGAGTTAGGGGGGAAGTTTGTTGGATAGTTTGGTGGTTGTATGCTAAGTAGAACGTGTCTTTTGCGTTATACATATTGGTATTTGATCTTCAATTTTTTTGAGTAAATAATTGCCATGAATATTCATAATTTAGAACCAAAGTGAACAACCACTGGAAGGAGCTACTTAGTGATCAGAAACTGACTCTGGATTCTGATCAACGTGTGCTTATTGTGACATAATCCAGGGTTATGGCAAAGAGCTCTGGCAAGCCCACGGCAAGTTCAGGGGAAATGGTGGCTGTGGATACATCCTTAAGCCAAAGTATCTATTGGAAGATTTGCCCAATGGTAAACCTTTTAACCCTTCAGCTCCTGGAGATACGAAGATGATCTTGAAGGTAAGCTTTTCTTGACCACTTTCTGGATATCGTCGATGACAACAGTCATGAGTTATTTGGAGTTCAATCTTTGACGCGTGCTTGTTAAGTTTCCCTACCCGATCAAACTTCTTTTGATAGTTGATGGTACTTCCTGGACCTTATTTAGTTTTGCTGGGTTACAGGTAAAGGTAATGACAACCATGGGATGGGACAAAGCGTTCCCCAAATACCATTTCGACCTTTTCTCGCCTCCAGATTTCTTCACTAGGGTGAGACTCACAATTCAAAAGTTTATGCCTTATTTGTCATATTTCCATGACTTCTTCATAGTGCCTTCTAGGTGACTTTTCCTCCGACACGTTCTCACGATTTACATTAAACCTTGCAGCTGCTTGTGACTGGAGTGCCTGCCGATGTGGCAAAGTGGAAAACTTCCGTTATAGATGACGTTTGGGAACCCCACTGGAACGAGGATCACGAGTTTTACCTTAAATGCCCTGAACTTGCACTGCTCCGAATTGAAGTTAGAGATCACGACGAGGAAAGTCAAGATGAGTTCGAAGGGCAGGCGTGCCTTCCAATGCATGAAATTAAAGACGGCTATCGATGCGTGCAGATGTATGACAAAAAGGGCAGTGTGTTGAAGGGCGTGAAAATGTTGTTCCATTTTCAAAAACGTTCGTTTTCTCCGGTCCAGTAATTCATCGTTTTCAAAAACATTTCTGTCTCAATCCTGCAACGAGTAATTTTAGAGAAGGAAGGCTAACGCACTCGAGATGTCTGAAAGGTGAAGAGTTGGAGGGAAGAAGGGTAGCTCGCTGTATCACCGAGCTCTAGTGAACTTCAGGTGTCATTCTTTGAGGGCAGCTCATCTTTCTCATGCATGTGGAACGCTGAGGTGTTGGAAATTAAATTAGTCTATGACAGAGCATTGATCACGTTCATAGAGCAATGTACCAACTAGTAAGATGTCTTGTTGATGGCCTTAGCAAAATTCATAATCAATTAATATTAAAAATTGTATAAAAGCAGTGCAAAACATTCAAAAATCCAAAACTGTGCATGTCTCTTCCACCAAAAAGTAGCAACTGTGAGCGATTTGTGGAAGATGTATCTTGTGCCCCCGACGGTACATGAAGGTACCTAATATCAGGAGTAGTTCAACAGCGTAGATAGCAATTTCCATTTGCGATGTCAGTATAATTCCAGTTGACTTGAATGATGTGAAATAATGAATAGTCCCCTTGATCTGGTTAAGAAATTTTGTAAAAAAATGATTACACATTCAACACATCATCAGATTCAGTGCAGTTCTAAATTGGATTTTGATTACTACCTGGAGAGAATTTGAGATAAACTTGTAAGCACCCAATTGTTCTCTCTGCTCCATTCCATGTAGTGGACGTTCTCTACTTGTGAGTGTTACTATTCGTCATCACGAAGGTTTTTATTTTCTTATCTCAGCAGCTTGGCGGTATTGACTGGAGTGGATATTGACTTAGCGGTATTGACTTAGTGGTCGTTGGTATCAGCGACAGTGTCCTGCTTGTATTTTTTTGATGGCATGGAGCCTAGCGCCATTGTATGTAACCTTACAAAAGCAACATGATAAACACACAGTCATATTTGAAGATTTCGTTAGTGATAGAGCACACGCTTTGTTCATCGTTCCTGTTAGATAATTGATTATCTAACGCTGATTGTACACTTTCTTTGTCACGGGATGACGATACTGGTGAAGTGACAGAAAAATTGTTTCTGGTGTCAGATGCCCGAAGAGGACACAACTCTCAAAGCGAATTCCTTCACTTGATTTTTCTTCATCAGTAGGAGATGCATCTTTTGTTTGTTTTTTTTTTGGTTTTTTTGTTTTATGTTCGAAATACGAAATTTTTCGGTGTTTGCTTCCACGATGATATATTCTTAGATTGTGAGAATATTCACTCCGATACCCAAAAACTGCGGAGCTCTGTTTAGAACACCGAAATCGTGTATTTCAATTTCTAATCATTTGCTTCTGTTTAAATTATCATAGCTAGACAACATTTCTCACTAACGGAACGAAAAAAGGTGCATAATCCGAATGATGACACAGCCAGCTTGAAATATCTTGACCTTGCCACGGAGGACTCAAACCTTGAACGTATTCAATCCACATGCACCTCATATTTCGATCTATAAACAGACGCCTTAAACCCTAAACCCTCCTCTCGGTATGCTTCTGTGAACTGGCCATACCCAGCCGGATGCGTCTCACCGCTTTGCGGTACGCAACTCCAGGATCCACATGAATGGGAATTTGAACAGTTTATGCGGTGCGGGTCTGTGCAATTGAGGGCAGGAGGCTGAGAGAGATCTCAAAACAATGTAGCATCTGCGAGGTGTAGAATTTGTGCTGCCTGGGTGCACGTCATTGCTTTTGGATGTGCATGGACTCGGAAGTAGTGGGCCGGTGATTAGAAAATAGGAAAAACATGGAGGAGTTAAGGGATAATCGAGTTTCTTTGTGCGGAAAATTGTAGCATTGTTTGCGATGAAGCGAAGATTTTCTCCTTTCTGATTCTTGGAGAGTATCGAGAGGGGGAAGTATGCGTGGAGTTATTGCGGGTTTAAGTGCAACTCCTGGCCAGCGGTCAACGATGGCTGCGCGGGCTGTGCATTCGTGGATGTCTCCAAGAAGGGATGACGGTCTTCATGATACGCACGCTCTTGGTGCGTTCAGAAGTAGCCTATACTCTCCGTTGGTGAATTGCAGTCCCTCGAATAGGGCAAGACTTTCCAGTTTTAGAGAGAGAACTTCGGTGAACCCGTGGCCTATGGGATTCCTTTCCCCTCGCTATCAAGTTTATATGCATCAAACGTCTTCTTCGCGGCAACTTTGTCCTCGTAGTTTTCAGGCTGCGAAGAAGACTCCAGTCAGATCTATCTCTAAAGGGCGTAAATCCAAGGAATTTAAGACTTTGCAGAGCTCTGATTTGAAGTACATAGAATGGTGGCGGCTCAAGGTAATGTAATGACCTCCCTTCTTTCAATTACCCTTCTCATTAAGCGGCTATCTTGAGAGCCGTGTCTTCCACCTATCCACACTGAAATCATTTCACTGAAGAGCCAGTTTATGTGTTACCCATGTTTACAAATTGTGGAAACTATTGATTGGAAGGTGGAGAACTGTACTAAACCTGTAACGAGGGAGTTGATGAAGAAATTGAAGTACTCCAATCTTCTTGGTTTGGACGAGAACCTCCGCAATGGGAACTTGAAGACTGGGAAGATGAATGCAGAAATACTAGAGACGAAAAGGCAGTTTCCTCATGAAATCCTTATGTACAGGTACGGGACTTGAAGTATCTGAGAACTTGAGTCTAGTCAGTTGGGGCATTTGGCAGATAGAAAACCTTCTATGTCTTTCGTCAACATGAAACACTTGTTAAGCCCTTTACAAACGGCACTCGTATATTTATTTTTATGACCCGTACGTGTAGGTGTGGGGAGTTCTACGAAGCCGTTGGGTTCGATGCATGCATGTTAGTAGAATATGCGAATCTGAATCCCATGGCACCGAGGTCCGACACAGTTCCAAGAGCAGGTTGTCCAATTATGAATCTTCGGCAAACTCTGGATCAGCTTACTTACCAGGGCTTCTCAGTGTGTATAGTGGAGGAGGTCCAAGGCCCCCAAGCCAAAGGCCATCTAAAGGAAAGGTTTGTTGCAGGGCATGCTCACCCAGGAAGTCCCTACGTATATGGCTTAGTTAGTGCCGATGTGGACTTAGAATTTCCCGAGCCCGTGCCTGTCATGGGAATCTCACGCTCCCGGCGAGGTTACTGCCTGATTTCTGTGCTAGAGATGATGCACTCTTTCTCTGTAGAAGATGCACTTACTGAGGAGGCTGTGGTTGCAAAGCTGCGCTCTCGACAATGTCAGCAGCTTTTCATGCATCGCTCCCTCAGAAGGGACACAGCAGGCATTGCCCAGTGGGGTGAAGGAGGTAACGTATGGTATCAATAATTATTTTCCTAATGCTATTTTTGTTCATACGTCAAGGAATGCGAAATAGTTGTAGCATCCGTGTTAAATCACCTTAGTAGCAGTTCGGGTACGGGTATTGCAGGTTTGTTGTATGGGGAGTGCCAGAAAAAGCAACAAGAGTGGTATGACGACGATCCGGTAGATGGCCTAATTTCGAAGGTTAGGGAGCTTTTCGATCTTGACGACGACCAAGAATTTCGGGAAATAGTTGTGCCTCCTGGAGAAAGGCCTCGACCTCTCTACGTGAGCACAGCTTCACAGATTGGGATCCTCCCAACAGCAGGTGTTCCCAGTTTGTTGATGGTATTATTACCACCAGAAGCGAACTCTCTTTGTACTTCTTATGTAAGAAACTTGCTTCTGCATCCCCCCCCTCACAGGTGAGCAAGGTACCTTACATTAAACGGTAATGCATGTACATCGTCCTATGAATTATTGGGAACTCTTCCTTCTTCGATGAGGGGTTTTGAAGTTCTTTTTCTTAGTTGAATGCGTACCTGAAACCATGTTTGTACATCATGTATAATAGCTAAATGCTCATGGATTTCTCTTTCGTGCAGGGTGGCCGATTGCATACAAGCTGCATGTCGGAAATTGGCAGAAACAACAAGCTCTATTCCTGATTTCACGTGTGTTTCAGCCGCTAAACTTATGAAGCTGATAGAGACACATGAAGCGAACCATATTGAATTTGCTCGTATGCGAAACGTAGCGGAAGATATTCTCCTGATGGCAAATGACCCTCAGCTTAGCGATGTCTTGGACCTCCTTTTGGATCCAACGTGGCTTGCCACAGGTATATTTTCATGTGAAACATATGGCTTAATTTGTGCAATCTTTCACCAGTACAAGTTGTTAAGGTAAGTTGTTGAAATTTCTAAAAAGTTGAATCTGAATTGTTTGGTGCCCTTTTAGGTATCCACATTGAGCAAAAGCAATTAGTGGATGATTGCACATTCTTGACAAGTAGGATTGGCAATGTGCTTGCCAGCGACAGTGACATTGACCAAACTGTAAGCAGTGACGAGAATATTCCCGATGATTTTTTCCGGGATCTGGAGGAGTCTTGGAGGGGTAGAGTGAAGCGACCACATTTTGAGAAAGAATTTGTTGAAGTAAATGAAGCAGCAACTGAGCTTATAGACGCTGTATTTTCTGATTTTCTCCCCATAGTTAATTGTGTGAAAGCGTACCAGAAGCCACTTGGGGGAGGACTAGGGAGCCGGAAAGGAGAAATCTGCTACAGTCGTGACAGTCAAGCTGTGTGGTTCAAAGGTAAGAACTTTCGACCCGCCGTGTGGGGCGACTCTCCAGGAGAATTAGAAATGAAGAAGTTGACCCCAGCTTACGATGGGAAGGGGAAAAAGATGGGTGAAGAATGGTGGACAACCACTCGGGTAGAAGATGCGCTGATCAGGTACAGGGCGGCCGTTGAGAAAGCAAGTAATGCGGTTGTGCAGCTTCTCCGGGACTTGGCCGCAGAGGTGAAGGTGAAACTGAATGCGCTCATTTTTATATCCGTGCTGTCGGTCATCGCCAAGTCTCTGTGCTTGCATGTGAGCGAAGGAAAGAGACGGAGCTGGGTGTTCCCCACACTAGACTTGTCATCGGAAAATTCCAACAACCAGGATGTAGGCCCAGGGTATTCTATCTTTTGTTCCACTTATTGGTCATTTCAACTGTTTAAGGGTTCAAGTTGTGCCCAGGCTGTTGTCGCCAATAGGTTTGTATGCTCTTATCACATTGGAGTAGTTCGAGGGTAATGCTTACTTTTATATTGAACATAATGCAGTATGTCCGAGATTCCTCCTACAGTCGCGCATTATCATTGCAACCGAACATAATTTATCTGGAGTTGAATTGTTCGGCTGAATTTGTTCTCTATTTACTGTAATTTTATTTTCTTTTGTTTTTTGGTTGTCTGGGATGTTACAGGCATATGGTGCTTGAGGATCTGATTCCTTACTGGAAAGACCCAGTCTGCGAGCAAGCGGAGCCAAATACAATTGAATTAAACTCCATGTTCTTGCTTACGGGTCCAAATGGTGGTGGAAAATCGAGCATCTTGCGTTCAATTTGTGCAGCTGCTTTGTTGTCAGTGTGCGGTCTAATGGTTCCAGCCCGCAACGCGGTGGTGCCTAGGTTGGACGCTGTTATGCTTCGAATGATGTCCACGGACAGTCCAGCGGACAACAAGAGTTCTTTCCAGATGGTAAGTAGAGAATTTTATCCGGAGCCCTATCCTTGAATCACAAATTTGTAGGCTTGTCGATTTATACCTACAAAACACCTCTTGTTCTCTTGACATTTTGTGCAATCAATATTGAATCAATTTTTCTACATGGACGAAATCTTGTGTGACTTCTATTGAATGAATTGAACCAAAGGCATTGAGCTACTTATGTTAATTGTTGCTATTCCACGGGTTGATATGTTTTCAGGAAATGTCAGAGCTACGAACGATTTTAGCCGAGGCAACGTCTAGAAGTTTGGTCTTGATCGATGAGTTGTGTAGGGGAACGGAGGTCCAAAAGGGCACCGCAATCGCTGCCAGCGTAATCGAATCTCTTGATCACATTGGGTGCCGTGGCGTGCTCTCAACTCATTTACATGACCTTCTGGATATGAAGCTACGAGTACGCAATGTTGTCCAAAAATCCATGGGCGTCAAACAAATTGACGGACGCATTGAACCCACATGGAAGCTAGTGGACGGTGCTTGTCGTGAGAGTCTGGCATTTGAAGTGGCAAAGAAAGAAGGTGTTCCTGAAAGTGTTGTACAGCGAGCCATGGAGCTTTACAAAGAAGCTTTAGAGTCCAGGAATAGTTTATCGAAGGAGTCAACACTTACAAGCACTTCACCGCGCTGCAGCAACTTGGTGAATGGGGCTACAAATGGAGCAGTTGATGGCTTAGACAACGTAACGACTGGAGTGCTTACCTTTCAGGCTCAAAGTCTCAACGTTGAAGGAGCAACTGAGCCAAATGAATCTGATGAGGAAAGTCGTGACCGATCACGAGCTGTGGGGAATGGATCTCATCCTGCTGCCAAGTCCAAAAAGGATTTATTGGATTGCATGGATGCTTTTAGTAGAATTTGCGAGAAGAAGCTGCAGGAGCTGGGAGATGCAAACTCTTATAGTAGTGCTTGCTCGTTCATCGGTCCTCGGCAACTGCCTCCTCCCGCGACCACGATGCACTCATGTATTTATATGTTGCAGAGACCAGATGGTAGATTTTACGTGGGTCAGTCCGATAATCTCACAAGTAGGGTGCGACGGCATCGGACAATTTTAATTGATGCTCCATTTTTATATCTAATTGTGGCCAACAAAAGTGTGGCCTCTGAGTTGGAAACGACTTTAATACATCAACTGCCTTCATTCGGAATAATGCTTGTCAACAAAGGGGATCAGAACCATCGGCACTTTGGAACGGCCCCCCTTGCAGATGCTCCTCCTTTCTAGATTGATTCGAGGAGCATATTAAGATTTTGAAACCTATGACCACTGTCGGCTTCCGGTTATGCAGCAGTTTCGATTTGTGGGTGCAGTAACGTTGGAGAAGATAATCCGTTACTCAATTTTGGCTTTCAAGACGCTTCTATTTTGGAGACAGGTGTGCTGAAGGCAATCTTACAGCATGGGCGGCCGGACATATCTAAGGTACAATCGACTGGCGTTTTAGTTTATAATTGCGTTGCACTTTGTTGAAATCATGAGTGTACAAAAGATGCCTAAGAATCATTTTGTATGCGTATGTTTTTTTTCTTTTCGTGATGGTAGAATGTATGCTTGAATTTATGAGGGTTGATTTGGGGGGGGGGGGGGGGGACAGGTGCTACCAAATGGCAGTGTTGTTGAACAATCACCGTGCAATATCACATCAGCACATTTAAACTAGCTCGTTTCAGGGTGCAATCGGCTTCTGTTCATGTAGCATATCTTGATCATGCCCTAAATGCCCCGCGGTTTTAACTGTTGAAGTTTTTCAGGGTTCAATGGATCAGCCCTTTGAACTTGATTCAGAGTTCAAGTAATTTACCTTCACAAGTGCAGCAGTTTTTTCATACCACCAGCTTTTGATCATTTACATGCATAGGATCCGTGCTAAGAAGAGTGTCCGAAGTGAATTGAGATTTCCTTGTAGCCCAGATTTGCTTATTGACACTCTTCCTGACTCTGCTCCTACTCGAGTGAAAATGACAGTAAAGAGAATGAATGCTATTTTTGCTTACGTCTTTTCATGGTGAAGATACTAGCAATTAGTATGCATGAACTTATTTTCCTACGCAGTGTACCTGACTTTAGTACCCGGCGTTACCAGAATCATCCACAGCTTGCACGTACGCTTTTCTATTGGCGTTGCAGATGTTTCCACAAATTGTTTCATTTCGAAAATAATTACTGAAATTCTGTTAGACCTAAATTATAAACAACAAATGTTAGTCCCCGACTCTGCTTGGAGATATGTGTGCCACACTATTTTGACCATGAAATCAAACTATGATTGATAAATGAATAGTTGTCTACAATTGATAAATGATTAGTTGTCTACAATTGATAAATTGTTGGAGTTATTTAAAATATTTTTACGTATTATATAACAATAAATTAGGCAATAATGCTTTTTTCCTAAAATTCCTAGAATATATTTATTGGTTAAAAAATATTATGAAAAATCTTTGGAAGATTAAAGAGTATGTCTCTTTTTGAAGCTTCTTCAAAACAAGTCTTCAAATAAATGTATCGATAGGAAGCACTTTTAAGAAGCATGGATTAAAACAAAAATAAAAATCTTATACATCGAACATCAAATAAGTTGGACTAGAAAAATTATGTAATATTTGTTGGATAATTTAAAGAAGCAATCCTATTTTAGTCATATAAGATACATGATATACTTAAATTAGAAAAAAGATAACGGTAGTGGATGGTGTGTAGAGAAGTGATAAACAGTGAGTTTAGTTGATAACAAAATTAGAAACTACCGCATGTGGTGAAGTGTTAATCTTGTACATATAGCAATCAGAAATGATGTGTAAACGACAATCTTTAATGTAAATTTCCTTTATGGTATCAGAGCAAGTAGAAGAGAGGTCGTCATTCACTGATGGTGACATGTTTTTGAGAAACACAGGAGAGTCACGTAGGAACTATTCCGCAGTACCTCTATAGCTTTGTTTCGAGAGTAAAGATTGAAAAACTAGGGTTGAGGGAGAGTGTTGGATAATATAAAGAAGCAACCCTATTTTACTCAAGTCGACTGTAAGATACATTGTAGACTTCAAATAGAAAAAAGGAGATTGCAATACTGGATAGCATGTATAGAAGTGAAAAACAGTGAGTTTAGTTGATAACAAAATTAGAAACTATCGCATGCGGTGAAGTGTTAATCTTGTATGTATAGCGATCGTAAAATGATGTATAAACAATAATCTTTAATGTAAATTTCCTTTAATATTAGGTTGTTTGCATTTTTTTATCTAATTTTATTCTAATAATTGGTACACGGGAACTTTTACACTGTGTGCAGAGTGGACTGCCTTCGAAACATAAGTATTTCAGAGGTCCGATCACAATTCTAGCTTACACTCTAATAAATGAAAATTAGAAAGTACAGAACTCTTTTAAGAGATTACGCTTCAGAAAAAAGCCCAGTTTACAGAAGAGCAAAATTTTCAAGTGTTTGTGGTAAAGATCTGGCATTTCAAAAAACATGAGCTATACAAGCCGTTGCTCTGAGTGCAGATCAAAAGATATTCGTCAACAGGTCATCTGAACTTCACTCGATGTCATTGATCTCTATGCTCTAGAAATCTAATATTAAGAGTTTCAAGTTCTACACCTCATTTCATATTGAATTTATTCTACTAAAGCAAAAACTTTGAGTCGTTACAAAGCTGCAACATAATTGAGCTAGTTGAGGGGCTTGTAGGGCCATGACTCTTCTTCTGATGATGATTTATCATCCTCCATCTTCGAGTAATAGTATATGAATTGGCACAATATCTGAGTTTTCGATCGATCAAAGCCACCATCCAAAAAAATTATGTGGAAAGAGTTTGGTAATGAACGAGTAATTTGAAGAGAAATACAAAGACAGACTCAAGTTTTTCACAGAAGCACTGAAATGAGGATACAAAAATGTCAAGGATGACACACACAGCAGCATCCACAAGCCACGCCAAGTTGGGCTTCAACGCCTGTTGCCAATCCATGCTCCGAACCAGAATGCTACACCAGGGACTCATAAAAATTAGAACGCACAAGATGGACAAAGAACAAGTGATTTCAACCCAAAACAGAATAGATAGCAGTGTGAGGAGAGGCTCATAGAGACAGCTGCTGAAACATGAAATGGGATTTTCGCACTATGAATGAGAAATTATTTGAACGTTGTCATTAACGACTTTGCGTCGTGCAAGCAGAAGCTCAGAAAAGAGCAAAAAATCTACTGGATTGTGGCTTCATACCTTCCCACATACGTTGCATTGCCCAACAGTGCAAACGCAAACATGAGCGGGTTTAGACCCTCTACTGTGCCCCTCTTGATCTGCCAGGGAACAGGAACATCAGCGTGATTGAAACCATAGCCACTTCAGAACACACCTTCTTTTGTTTTTGTGAAGAGATAAGATTCAAGGACAGTTCAGGAGTGAGTCTAGAGGTTGTACATTAAGCCAGATTTGAGGGAGACGACCGCCCATGTAGATACATGCCATGATCCAGCCAAACACTTCACCAAGAGGAGAAGGCTCCTCTCCGAGAAAATGATCACCAAAACTGTGAGCGTTATGGCTAATGTGGGTTGTGCCGATAGTGGGGCCACCAGTCACGCGGCGAGTTGTGTACAGGCTCAATCCCAAGGTGCCAACCATCAGCACACCCGAGGTCATCTGCAGAGATCAAATGGAACTCATACTAAGTAAATCAAATGTGGTAATTCAGTGTTTTGGATGCTACGTCTTGATGATATGGCATAGAACTCATCAACCAATTGCAGTTATTTTCTCACCGTTCGCAGCGTCGAAGACGAGAGTGAAACTGGAGAAGCTCGGCGGGGATGAGATCCAGCCAAAGCTGGCGTCTCGGTGAAGTCTTCCTGCGTGAGCAAGTAGCTGTGATGACCATGGCGGCCTGTAGACCCTCTTGACCCTGAGAGCTTGTATGAGCCGATTGGTTGGGCGTGGCTGCTGGCTAGAGACCTTGCAGATCTGCACACAGCGGAAATAGTTAAACTCCTTACGAGAACGTTTTCACACCATGCTTTCAGATGAATTGGTGATGGTGAATCAGAGCTAGTGGTTTTGAAAAAAGAGGAACGCACTGAAGGTATAAGTGGTCTCTGCTTCCAGGGGAGGTTGCACGGTGATGGTGGTGAGGCACACCGATGGATGCTGGCTGGCTGGAAGCTGGCGTTGAAGCGGATTCAGGACCTTCGTTTGCACACTCTGAGATTGGAATCGGTTTCTGCGCCTCCAAGTCTTTCTTGAGCTGGTTTTTAACTCCACACGTTTTAGGATGTGAGCAAATGGTGATGAATGAGCAGCGCGTCTAGTGTGATATTCAATTATTGGAGTGTGAAAACATAGAATTACTTTCAAGGTCAATCCGTTGCTCTAAGTGAGTCCCTCGCCCTCAAAAGATATTGCAAGTTTATTCAGAAAATAACTTTTTCCCCAAATCAGAGCGATGGACAATGCTGTGGCTGAACTTACCTCTGGAAAGAGGTCGTCCACGGACCGCACCCGATCTCGTCTCCACAAGGCATTGAGACGATCGTAATAGATCGTTTGCAGCACCAGAATAATCGTCGTCAATGTGTAGAGCTGAATTGCAGCAGGTACGCACACATTCAGCACCAGATGCAACAATAAATTCCAGCAGAACATTCAATGCGTTGAGCACAACCGAATGAAAACTAGAAAATGCTGCTTTTTCGACGATTTTGATTTGACAAAATGGAAGACAATCAGAGTTGAAAGCTCACAATGGCCATGTAAAGTTGAGTTGGTAGCTGCATCGTCCCATACAAACAGATCATCAAGGCCCTTGTAATCATCATAAATACCGCGTGGTTTAGCTCTTAATTAACCACGCAAACTCCATGTCTCGAGGCGAATGACAATGTGGTGGAGCTCTCAACAAGCAACTGAGCAGAGCAACTTAACTTCTTTAAACATGAGTGAGGCTAAGTCATGCGAATTTTACTCACCGTGGCTGGCTCCAAATAGCAACCCATGAAGTTGAAGACATCTCTGTACATTTACGAATTAGAAAATGGTTCAATGCACGACGAACTTCTGACGATAACACAACATTTTTCACACAATTTCCAAAATCATTCCAACACCGTGACCCTGCATTAGAAGGAGCTCCAGGTAGAGCATAAAAACAAGTGATGCCACCGTGCTTGATCTTTGGCTGGCACTCAGTGGTTCACAAAGCCATTTCTGATCTAGATGCATGGAGCGATAAGCACACGTAGCAAATTGGTGGTGAACATATGAGGATTTAGAAAGGAGTGTTAGTTTCGGTCTCGGCTGCTGCAAGATGACGAGGATTGATGAGGTAAAGATTTGTGGAGCGAGGAAGATCGTCTCACCCAATGACCCACGTCATCAAGAAGGCCAATGAGACTCCCTCAGTGGACTTCTCTCGGAAGTTTGTGAGTATCTGTGGCACTTCAGCCACGCCCCAGCTGAACACACTCATCAAGCCGAGGGCCAGAGAAAATCTGTCCCGGGTGCTGCACACGCAATCCAAGAGGTACTTTTGCACCCATTTCAAGCACGCCTTCTCCGCAGGGCACTGAGGCATCGGCCCGATTAGGCCATCCATCTCAGAAGACGACGTTCACAAGCTCCTCTTCCAGGGACCGATCGCCAAGTTACACACATGAGCTGGCCGCTGCAAGCGATGGATGAGAGCGTTAAGAAACAATCGATCAACTCAAGGGTGTTCATGTATACTGAGAGCAGACCAGAAATCCTTCAAAGTAGCTTGTGGGTAATACCGATTGCCGACCACCTCCCTCTCAGCGTCTGAAACTGAACCGCACGCAAGATGCCCATGCACGTCACTATAAATCTAATCGATCGTCACAACTGTTCTGCAACGTTCGAAAAATTCCTGTGTAATTTTTTGAAAAGCAACCATTAATATCTCCAAGTCGATTTTTATCGTAAGGTAATGTCTGATGACAGGATAGCAGGTCCAGCTTGTTTCTGACACCCAGACCGCATTGCCCCGCTCTCATAACACACCATCGCTGAGCACCTGATAGACTCGACTCCAGTGACCAGCTACGCGAAATCCAAACTAATCTGCAACTTGTACACTCACGATGGGTATCCACCACTGCTGGCAACTACACTCTGAACGATGTGATAATGCCGATGACGAAGACGAATCACCTATCGAAGGATCCAGGAAGAAAACCGGATAACAAGAGGAATGGGCTCTTCCGAGGTGACGAAGGACGGGGATCATAAAAAAAATTTCTACGGTCGAAGGTCGCTGCTAGGTCCTGCAGGTGTGGCCCCACCTGGATTGCTAAACGCATGAAGAGTGGACTGCGAAGTGGCTACAGAGACGGTGTCGATGCGATCAGGGTGAGGGGGAGAGGATCATCAGTAGTACAGATGAGCTTGATTATGCTGGAATTGTTGACATGCACCAGGGAGTATCGATGATCAGACTGTGGTGCTTCGAGGTAAGAGCCAAGTGCCCGCGAAACAGACGAAAACCACGCGATGGGTGCCACGGGAGGCCACGATGGTCCTCGACGTCGCCACCCTATGCTTTCGATCCACGACGACGCGCTCCAGTCCATTTCTCATATCCCTCTGATGTGGGGTCTGACTCATTGGATCTATCATTTGTCTGGCATTTGGCACCAATTCCTGCTTAATCTCTTGTGCTTCCACAGAGCTCCCGCGAATGCGTCGGGTATTGTTTGGCAGGATGGAGCAAGGGAGGGCTCTTCTCCGAAGACACTCTGTGGTCTCATCGTTGCTTGCACTCAGACTAGCAATTTAAAAAGAAAGCTTAATTTGATGAGGTTTTGTGAACAGCTTCGTAGTTTGTAAATTACACATGGAAAGTCTCAATCCTTGAGTTTAAAGGAGAGGTGAATTCGAATGAGTTGATTCGGAACTGTACATCTTACTTTCTATGGTGTTTGTTATTATGACTGTGCTATGTTCTGTGTGATGTTCCCAACGCTGTGTATTTACTGCCTGTTGGTGTCCTCCATGATCTTTGTATTACTTCGATCATAGCAAAAAATATTAAATTTTAAAAAGAAGTAAAAACTGCACTGTCAACAGATTTCGTTGTTGAAGTCTTGAAATTAACAATGCAACCAACATCTGAGATTTGGGTCCTTCAACATTTGGGCTATAAATCTCCTTTGAAAGAGAGCAAACAACATTAGTGGAAGCCTTTTTTTCTTTTCTATTCCCACAAGAATGAAGGTTTTTTAGTCTCAAAATCCTTGATTAGCAGTGTCATTGACAAGGGTTTATGTTCTCATTCCTCCTTCTTCCATCTACATGGGTGAGGCAGGAGTGTAGTATCTATCTCTTGGGAGGGTCTAGATGGTTACTGCATACACATGGTTTTAAATTTAGGTGGATTGGATGCTACATTCCAAAATTGTTTTTAGATTTGGCCAATGTTGATCCACTTTTTAAGAATGGGTCCTTCATTCTTAGCTTTCCATTATATAGATTATCATTTTTCATCTACACTTAACTCTAAGTGAGTGTTTGATGTTGCTTTTCCATGGAATCTCTTACATGGTTTTGAAAGAAGTGAGAACCCAAGGTAATTCAGAGGCTGCAGAACTTGTTCATGCACTTGGAATGGGTTCCACCTGTTCTTCTACAGAATCAGGGTTTTGTTGTTTTGTCAAATAGACTTTTTTTAACTTCTATTTATTTATTTCTTTATTGCTTCTTCTACAGTTTTCAATTGGGTTCAATTTTAGCAGGTACATGAAGTGAGCACCATGCCACAAAATTGCGATGATAGGAAGCTGTGACCAAGGACATCCATTTAGTCCCTTGAGATAGGGCAGGCCCAAAGCCCAACATAATTTTTTATTCTCGTTACTATTTCAATGCATTGGGCAGAGGGCCTTGAAAATCAAAAGGATGGTGTGGCACTAAGATTCATGTCCTCTCTCCACAAAAACTGAAATTTGTCAGAGAGTGAGAAGACAATTGAGGATTAGGGTTCCACAGCAAGCCAATCTACCATGTTGAGCTATCTGTGGGACCTTGGTACATGCCCAAGCCCATACAGATAATAGGTTGATATTGGGCAAGCTACATATGAAAATATCATGAATTGGCCAGAATCATGCCACCACAAAGATTGGCCTTGTGGGGATTTTACATGAAAAGCTGCTTATAGAGCTATGTTTAGCCTCAGCCAGTGTGTGTATTAGTCCTTGAATCTGGGACCAGTGAAGATTGAATGTAGGTGGGCAATAGAAATTGTGTTTGTCCAAGCTTCAGGGTTGATCTTTATAGCCAAAATGTGTTTTGTAATCCTACATTTGTGGGCATTGTTGGCTCATGGTCTGGACTGTTCATTCTCTAAGAACACATGTGTACCATTTAGATTGTATTGAATTTGGGGCTTAGTGATAGTTTGTTGTGTCATTAGGAAAATGGGGTTTGTGTGTTCCTTGCTATGGAGATTTTGTTTGTTTTTAAATTTTGTATAATTTAGATGGATGAAGTTTTGGGCAAGATTAATGTGTCTGTTCATGGGATGGGTTTTAAAGCTGAAACTTAGTTTATTCTGCACAGAGAATGAGCTCTAATGGGCCATGATTAATCTTTGAACCCTCTTTCTATTTCATTTTTTAGGAACAGATAAGTTGATAGCCTTGATTTATCTGAGTTTGAAAAGAGTTGAAAGTCTTAATTAGTCTATAGTTAGGTAGTATTTATGGTTTATGGTTAGATCTTTCATTATCCCCTCTTCAAATGCTTCCACTGACCACATGTTGATAAAGTCACAAACAGAGAAATCAATCTCACTACAATTAAACACTGGTTCTACTTTCTTCTTTTATTTTTTTATTTTTTTATTTTTTATAATTTGATGTGATCAACACCTTAGTTGGAAAGAAGAGAAAATTTGAGTCTGCCTAGGTAGTGAATTTTAATTTTAAAACCAAGTGACTGTTAACTTCAAAAATTAGAACCTAAAAAGTAACATGAATACATTATTGTGTTTATGTTATTGGAACATGTTTTTATTAACAGTTTAAGTAATGAACATAGTGAATTAACTATGTTTCATTTCAACATTTCAAAATTTGACTGAAAATTATAAGATTTGATATATAATTAATGAAATTTATGGAATGTATGTTTTATTTATGATTTTAATAATTCCACCACCCTTTGGTAGTTTTAGCACCTTTCTACTTTTTTTTTTCTAAAAAACATTATCTTGTAAAACAAAATGGAAAAATATGGGTGTGCAGAGTAAATCTTTTTGAAAAGCAGTTTGTTCTTTGTTTCAATATTCTTTATGATATAAATGAAACAGTACAGTGCCCTGTCCTGCAGCCTGAATGGCCAACCATCCAAAATGGAGGCCAAATGCACTTCATCTGGCGAAAAACAAGTCCAGGTGCATGCCCCTCAGGCCACCACCAGTGATGACACATATTGGGACGTCGCGGCACTCAGAAGTGTGCTCTGGTTTGAAGTCACAATAGAAGACGACTTTGGGTGTGCGTTAAAAGATCTGAGCAATTCTGTTTTCGCACCATGCCTGCGAAGTACTGTTTTTGGTTCTTTTCTAAGCAAAAAAATCGAATAAGGGCAACTTTTGGTCGGCTGACAAGCTCAAACACTTACCTCTTCAACCAAAGAATTAGATTCAACTTCCATTGTACAGCCTACCGAAGACTAGTTTTCGTAACATCAACATAGACAATACACTTTTTAATGCACATTGTATTGATACTTGTTTTAACTGCGACAAACAGAGGAAGTACTCAAACCCCTCCTTAGTAAGCGTTTAACAAAAAAAAACGCAGTTAGGAACTCAGATTCATTAGATTGGAACTCTGTTATTGTAAGATTTTTCGAAATAATTAAGCTTCTCCAATTAAAGTGTACTAGCTGTTAATCTTGGGACCCAGAGAAATGAATTTGACAACTTTGACCACTTCTGACGATCTTTATATGTGACCCGATCCGCAACCTCACAAATGTGCTCCTATCTTCTGCTATCAGGTAAAAGATTCAACGCTTCACTCTTTAATGACGGTAGAAGGTCAGGAGCTGTAAGACCTAATTTCTCTTCACAAAACTTTAAGGGTCATCAAAACCTGATTATCAAAACAGTATATTTTACAGCAACACATATCATACTATGAAGTGTGCTCATTCTATCTGTCGGCAAAAGATCAAGGGAACATGGGTTGCTGAAGGAGCCCACAATTCTCCGGGCAGCCCATCATCAGGTTCAAGTTCTGCAGGGCTTGACCTGATGCACCCTTGACAAGATTGTCGATCTGTACAACCAAAATGCGTCAGTATGATGTGTGACGGGTAACAAAATAACGTTCACCCATATACAAGAAAGCTCTGTTGAAGAATCTTTCTGTTGTAGATGGTTATTTAGTAATTAACTGGAAAAAATAATAAAGAAAGAAAGAAAAAAGAAAAGTCTAACGTAAACGCAACACATTCAACCACACAACTAAATCATCCACTATTTCACTGGAGAAAGCTTGAAACCTAATGTAGGTTTCTACGTCAGGAATGTTTTACATTCAAATCTGTAAGAAGTTAGCCTACCGCAGAGATGATGATTGCTCTGCCAGGTATGCGATCCTCAAAAACGTTCAACAAGCAGTAGTTTGACCCCCGTACGTGCCGTGTATGAGGCGCGATGTCCTTTTCTAGCACCACAACAAACTCTTCATCCTGTCAAACAACCGTCGTCGTAGATCAGAGGCTTAGTAAGGAAATCTGTGTACCAAATAAAGCAAGAAATCGTTATGAAATCACAGGCCGTCGACAGATTGTGAGGAATTGAATATTGACCACATTTACTCCCTATGGTTGCGAAGCACTGTCTGAAACGCAAGTGAAAACAAACACAGAAATCTTAGATTGGAAACTTACAGAAAATCGCTCAACAAGGTGATTCCTCAAATCATCCACTGTCACCCCTTGCTTCCTTTGGACAAACATGGTAGACATCATTCCACGACTCTGCAAGGCAGTATCGGAATAGCACACGGTTACGAAAGGAAATTGAGTGTTAAGAAAAATGGTTCTTCCTTGTACAATTACATGTTCACAAACCACCTATATCAATACGAATAGTGTGAAGCAGTAGAAAACAAGAATTCGAAGAAACTTACAAACAGACGCGGATTATTACCATGGGCATAAGGTTTGGAGTGAAGCTGATCGTAACGTCAGAGCCAACCGCATCGGAGAGTCCTTGTTCGATTTCAGGCACTGCAATGTAACAGATTAACGTGTGAGGGACAACAACCACCTCTAGACCGATCCGATATTTATTAGAATTTCAAAATTACAGGGTTATACTGTCATGGAACATTCATGACATTCTGTTGCAACAATAAACCTAGTTGTTTCTGATGCCTCAATCAGTTAGATATGAGATGCGTAAGCAAAGGGAAATTTACCGTGACGATGTTTCGTGATTCCGTAAGGGTGAATTCCCTCACAAATCTCCGTGTACAAATTTGCTTCCTTTGCAGATCGACCTAAACATGAGAAGACTCAGGTTCAAGTACTCGTGCCATATGTAATAACCATTCATACCTGTCAAGCGCTCAAATATATCAGTTATGGAGACTAAGGCTCAAGGCAAAGAACATTTAATGTACCTGCGCCGCTGACCCCGGAGTTGGAATTTATAATAATGTTGTCCTTCTCGATTAGTCCAGCCTGAAAAGGGAAGTTAAAGAAAATATGTAATGTTCATCCACTGTTACTAGCAGCGTTGGCGATGCTACATCGTAATGCTATTGAGAGAAATGGAAACGAAGGATTCTAGATTTCAGTGAATCACTCGGAAAGTTGAGCGCAGCACCTTCAGTAAAGGAATCAAGGGAAGCTGAATTGAAGTTGGGTAGCATCCAGGATTTGCAACCAAACGAGCCGCTCGGACCTCTTCTCTACACAACTCTGTCAATCCATACACTGCTTCAGGCTGCAAATTCAACAGAGGCTGTTAAAAAGAAAGCCAATACATTCTCCACCCAATTAGTTCTCTTAAGACTTGCTGAATAAACTTTTAGATCTACAGCGAACTCTACATCCATTTTACACAAATTGAAAGAATAGAGGCTAAGATCTAAAGCGTACCAAAAAACTCCATACATATAAATTGATTTTTCTACAAAATGCATGGGACAACATGTATTCACTAATCGACGCCTATGAATAAATTAAATGAGGACACTTTTGTTTCTAATTAGGAGTAAACTGAAGTCAAAATTAGATGAACAAAGCACAAATTCATAAGACACTCAAAAGTGTTCACTCCCATTCGGTGGAAAAAAGCTTTAGCATCAATCACTGAAGGACTAAAAAGAAACAGGGTCATAAGGTTTGAGGTACTAACCTGTAGCTCAGGAGCACGATGGGGTCCGTTATACCACTCTTCATAAGTGGCTGTATTCCGCAGACGGAAATCCTGCACCAATTACTCATCACAAGTTCATCATCTAGAGACTCCAATCGTCACTTTTTGACATAACTTTTCAATATTATGGACAGACGAACATGGTAAAAGAGATTCAGGACTGGTTCGGTGAAGCCACTTTCTGCCCAGTCAAGCGAATGGAAAACTTAGCGGAGCCTCAAGATTTTTAGTGCATTAGTCGAGATAGATGAAAGTTTCACAAATTTTAAGACATTAGTCATAAGTGATGCAAAAGCTGCACAAGAGAATCAACAAAGCAATAAGTATTGCGAAGCCACGAATGACTTTAGTCATAGCTCTAAGCTTACCGCTGATAAATCTACCACCTTCAAGTTTTTCGGGAGAGCAGCAATTATCTCCTGCAGTACACACGATCAATTATATAATACAAAATGTCGAGGAGAAAACTCAAGATTTGAGTATCGACGGTAAAATACCAAGGTGCAAAAGTCTACCACTCTCCAATGCTCGAACTATGAGAGCAGCAGTACTGGTCCACGAAACCTCAATAACCTCATAATTCTCAAAAAGTTGCCTGATAGAAAACCACTAGAAAATCTCAGCATTTAGTCAGGACCTACATCTACAGTGACACTCAGACGATTGAGAAAAGGTAGACTGTCATTCGTACCTGAGTTGTCCCGTGAGGAAGGCAGCAAAACACAGCATCAACGTTCAGGAAATCGGCATCCTTGACTGCAACCATGTTCGGCAAATCCTGTAATGAACAATTACTACCTAAGTCAAGTTTTGGACAAAACTAGAATCTAGGCCACGGCACACTAAAATGTGTTATACACTTCTGCAAGCCTGCCTCGATTCAAACCTGTGTGATCAACTGGGGGAAGACCGATGCTAAGGACTGGCCTGCCTTCCGATCGGCTGTCATCACTGTCACTTTGAAGACCGGATGTGTCGCCAGCAAGCGAATGATCTTTCCAATAAACCCACTATTAGAACCATAAGTAAGAATCTTAGCTAGCTGATTTGTAATGGCAGATTCAAACGTTACAATTCTCAAGAAAGTTCGCCGAATGCGTACCTCTGATCCAGTGTACCCACTGGCACCGAGAACACCCACCCGTACAGTCTCGCTCTGATCAAAATCGGAGGACTTGGTAATCTCTCGGTTCTTGGGAGCTGACGTTACAGCCATCCTAGTCCTGGCGCCTCTGTTGACAACCAGTAACTCGCTACCCACCGCATTTCCTAAGAACGAGGACTTCGTAGAGGCTCCACAGTCCTAGAACCAGAACCCGTCTGTTCAGCACACTTCTAAAAACTAAAATATATCACGCAACACCTCGACCATCGAGTCGATTCTAACTTCGTCCGTTCCAGGCATCACAAACCTAACGGCTTACCAATACAATATACAATTCTGAATTACCTTTGATTGAAGGTCTACAGTAAATCCTATGTCGCCGATCAGTAAGAAGTTCACGTTCAAGTAAACACCAAACATTAATGCCATCACTATTTCGAAATACATTAACTCTCGTCCTGTATCACAACACGCACCCACCCCAACCATACAGGCAAGGCGGAGCAACGTGTGCACAGCTGGAAGCGAGTTTACAAGAGTCAAACACTTCGCAGACGGTATGTACCTCGATGAAGGTAGAACGAGGAAACAAAGCCATTCCAGCTTGTGAGAAAGTCGCCATAGCCTAAAACCTCCAGAAACCTCGAAAAACCTGCAACAGCTCCGCAACCATAACCCAAGTTGACAGCATTCACAAGATCTATCTACTCAGAATCACTCAATGGAGGCAACTCAACTGTGAGACGGTACAAAAAAATCCGGATTCCGTCGTTACCTGACGATTTGAAGGACCAGGCGATTGGGCAGATTAATATAGCAACGATCTGGGTGGCACTTTCAACCTCCGAGAAGATGCTGACGGACAAACCGTGGTCCAGTGGATGGGAGGGGGGAGATGGATGTGATGCAGCGAGCCTGCAAAGTTGGTTGAAGTCAGTGTGTGTGTCACAAGGGAATTGGGGAACAACCACGAGGGCCAGGAGGAGGCGAATTGGGGGGGCGTGCAATGTAATGAAATGCCATGGCATGCCAGATGGGGATGAAGACAACGCACCCCCCACAACACAACCAACAAAACGGTGGGGACGACGACGGATCAGCCTCCTCGACCCACAAATCCACAGTAGAATGAAGGGGAACGAACGAACGAACAGATCGGACGGACGGATGTCAAAAGCAGAAAACAAAATAATTACAGAAAAACAACTAAAGTCATTTTGTACTTGTAGGTGAGAAACTTTACAACATTACATGTTTTGGAATTTTTCAAATTTTCTGGCGATAAATACTATGAAGGAATCATCACCGATTTTCTAGAAACCATTTTTTTAATGAATCATTGCACAAAGATTATGATTTAATATTGTCTAACTTAAATCAAATCAATGCTGTAGCATTCTGTGATTGAACTCCTATGAAAATTAGTTTTCAGTTTGGTTGAAAATAGTTTCAAAAAATAAGAAGAAAAAAAAAATTGTACATGTAAGATGCTGAATTGGAGGATAGTACTTGTTCAAAATTTTTAACTTTGAAAAAAAGTATGAAAGGCATTTTTGTAAAAAAAGAAAAAGAAAAAGAAAAAGAAAAATGAGGCTTCAATAAATAAAACCTTTCAGATGTTTTAATTATAAAATAATTTCTAAAAATTTAAATGATTACTCTTCAATTTAGTGCAAAATAAAACATAAATGTATATATGTACTAGAAAAAAGGTTGTCATTTTGACAAATTATTGACTTAAAATTAATTTTTTTATTTACTCTATTATGATTTATTCCTCATGTGACAACCTATTCTCATATATATATATATATATATATACACACATATACATACATATAAACACACACACACACACACACATATATATATATATATATATATATAGGATGTTGCTTATGCCACCACAACTTTTGTTATTGACACCCCAACTTTTCATTTTTTGTTAGGAAATTTAAAAAAACTATATATATATATATATATATATATATTTATATATGTATATATACACATATACATACATATGTACACACACACACACACACATATATATATATATATATATATATATAGGATGTTGCTTATGCCACCACAATTTTTGTTATTGACACCCCAACTTTTCATTTTTTGTTGGGAAATTTAAAAAAACTATATATATTTATATATGTATATATAAGCAAAAAAATTGATTGGAGTAAAAAAAAATAAAGAAATATGTTAAATGAATAGTGGTTAATCATTGGGCTACTTAATATGAAAACATTACAGCAATATTCTATTATTAATCACAAGTGTATCAAAATACAGTTAATAAATCAAGTCTGATATTGTTTGTGGTTATTAAACCAAAAACTGTTCTACAATCAATCGTAAGTGTATCAAAAAGGGTCAGTAAAGAATAAAATTACAAAAAAGAAGAGTTTAATTTCATGTCATGTACTTTAACATTTTGTGTATTCTTATAAACTTTCATAATTTTTATTTTTTATTTTTAACCTCCAAAATTGCATGTATAAGTCTGTGAATTGGCATTAGGATTGCATGAATGTGCACTGCATACTTAGTAATTTAAAGACCCAAACTCTAGCTTCAAATTTGTTGTTCACATTGTTTAAATAAAAGTTTTTGAAAACTTTATGTGTTGTGACATAAACTACAACCAAACGTACTTCTGAATTGCAAATATGCACACACATTAATATCATAATAAAGAATATCCTAAAACATCAATGATTAAATAAAGTTTAAAAATTATTCCCATGAATCAATCGAATATATGATATGAGTAAATGTGCTTAATAAGAAGAACAAATAATTGTTGTAGAATGAGCTATCATAACACATAAGTCTCAGTAACTGATTTATTTATTTCATTTATTTTCAATGACGTGAAAATTTACAGATTCAGCATTTACCAGATACTTGAGAAGGATAAAATTCAGAATTCTCACCCATGATTTGAAAGCTTGTTTCTAAGCAACAATACACAATACCACATTATCATACACAAACCAAAGAGCAGGCAACATTTTGAGATTCTCCTTTAAGGAGAAACTTTTGCTTTTTGAGGAGATTGGGCGGTGGAAAACGGCCAGGCGCGACAAGGAGAGGACTCCTGGCGGCCGGACCAAATCAGGAGCTCGTGGGGTGCTGTTCACACTGCCAGCGGCCGCCAAGTAGGGCTCAAGTAGAACCTAATTGCAGAGCCTCCCTTAAACCCTGAACCCTACTCGCCACCGGCTGTTGTGCAGTTTCTTATTCCCCAGCCTGGCCTGGGAGGGAGGCTGCCGCTGTCTGCTGGATTGTTGTAGTCCCAGGGTTTTGTGGCGTTGCTTTGGTTTGTTTTGCGGTGCTTATGCAGGTTCAGGGAAGGCTCGATTGGATTGAGGTCGAGGACGAGGATAAGGACAAGGGAGGAAGAGCTTCAGCTTTCAGAAGAAGAGCCAAGGAAAGGAAGGAGAACAAAACAAGGGGAAGTTAAAAGAACAGAACAGAACAGCGGGAGGTTAGGGGTTGCAGGAAGTGGCTGCAAGGATGAAGCACGATGACTATTTTGATTGCGGGGATGCGTTGGAGAGATTGGTAGCTAGGTGTCCAGGTCTACGCGAAGATCCCGACGTTGCTGTGGTATTGGCGCAGAAGAGTAGTGGAATTGACGAGGGTGGTGTTTTAGAGGTGGTGCAAGATCTTGTTATTCAGCCTGACGTTGGGCTAGCCGTGTTGGGATGCTTTCGGCCAATTCTTCCTAGGGTTCTAGATAATTTAGTGTACTCGTTGCGGCAATTGTGGGGGCAGGGGAGAGGCTCTCCTGGGCGAGAGGGTGAGGGGTTTGTTAGAATTTCGAGGCGGTTGCGAAATGGAGGTGGATGGGACCTCGGGTTGCATGAGCACACGTGCATTCTGTTCTGTAGGCTGCTGGACTTGGCGCCTTACTTACTTAGGTATGTGGAGAAACCGGACAGTCCCCACCGAAATACAACGATAAGAAAAAAAAGAGAAAAGAACAAAGAAACCAAAAGAGGACAAAATAATGAACGAAGAAGCAGAGGCAGGAATTGTTACTATCAGCGTGTAGGGCTTACTACTTTTTGCTGGTAGAGAGTGTCACTGACAGTATCCTCTCGAAGAACAGAACTGGTCAAATTGTTGGGATTTTAAAGCTGTAGTTGTTATTATGGTTACAGAGAAAACTCATTTTCGCGACTGATTTTGATTGTTTGTGATGTGTTGATGTTGGCCTGTGATCAGTTCACTGCTTCAGTACTTTGAATTTGCTCCATCTCCGTTTGAGCGCCTTCTGCATGGAGGCGCAGTTGACTATCAGTCTATGCTATCTACTAGTGATGGGTTTCAATCCACGTCAGGGGCACCTGTATTCAGCGAAGTCTTGTACGCATCCTATCGGCTTCTACAATTGGAGCCAACAGTATTTCGGGAAATTTGGGACTGGAGCCCTTTCTTAGATTTATTACGATCACTGCCTAAGACTTTAGATGAATCAAGTCTAGACGTCCGATGGTGCGCAGCACAAATTCTCTCACAAGTTTTGCAAATGAGTGATAATGCCACTCTAAAATTCAACAGCTCAGTTGCAGGGCTGACGGACGAGCAAATTTTTGGTTGTCATCTTCGGTGGAAATGTTTTTGTCAGCAAGCGGCCGTTGAAAAATTAGGAATGTATTTAGAAAAACCTGAATCATCGAAAGACTCAATGTTAGTTGAAGATACTCGCTCTGACTTGAGTATGAGCAGCATCAAAAGCTGGAAAGGGACGAATAGCTTCCATTTGCGAATTTGTGGAATTGACCTCCCGGTTCGGCAAGATATGAGAGAGGGCAGGTTCGTGTTTTTATCTCACGCTACACTTTCTATGTGAGAGGATAGTGTTGACAAGGTCCGATTTTGAAATAGTGACGTTTCTTTAATAGTATATTTTTCAATTTGAGCTGGCATTGTTTCTGCAACGGCGAAGTGGTCATTCTCTGATGGATTGCTTCATTTTTCAGGTCGACGCTGTGTTCTAGTCAATCATTAGTTTTGACACCAACAGTTAAACGGAACTTGGAAGCTGTAGTGCTGGCATTGAGCCAACGGAGCCCAGTGCTTTTAGAAGGACCTATAGGATCTGGGAAGTCTTCTTTGATTCAGGAACTGGCTTACGTTACCGGGAACCTGGATCTTCTTTTTATTCACTTGGATGATCAGATGGATAGTAAGACTTTGCTGGGGAATTATGCCTGCACTGAAATTCCGGGAGAGTTCAAGTGGCAACCGGGGGCTCTTACTCAAGCAGTTGTGAGAGGGATGTGGGTGGTGTTTGAGGATATTGACAGGGCCCCTTTCGAGATTTTTTCTGCTCTTATTCCATTACTTGAGGATCGAAAGTTGTACATACCAGGCCGTGGAGAGATGGTACCTGCTGCTGATAACTTTCGAATTTTCTCAACTGTTACCCGAAGCAGGCATGGTGGGGCTTTCGCAGGAGGGAAGAAGGAAATGCTGGGAAATCTTTGGAGGAAAGTATTGTTTGATGCTCCTAATGATGAAGAACTCGCTGATATTATTCGCATCCGGTTCCCTGTTCTTGCACCTGTGGTTTCTAAAGTGATTGGTACTTTTAATCTAGTCAAGCACATTGCTTCACAGTCTGAAACTTCCGCCAATGGCCTACCTGATGTTTCTGTATATGTAGGTCGTCAGTTTTCTACTCGGGACCTATTTAAATGGTGCACTAGGATTTCTTGTCTGGGGTCTCAAGTGCTAGGAGCTTCGTCTTTTTCGAGTTCCGCTCGAGAACGCATTTTTGTAGAAGCTGCTGACTGCTTTTGTGCCTCAATAGCGTGTGTCGCGGACCGCCAAATGGCTCTGTCAGTTATTGCGCAATTTTGGAATATTCCTTTGGACCGCGTCACATTTTACTCTTCACTTAACAAGCCTTCCATTCAAATGAGTATGTCACATTTACAAATAGGAAGGGCTAATCTTTCTATCCAGCCAAGAACAGGGAAGCCTTTGTCCACTCGTCTTTTCGCAAACACTGGACAAGCTGTACGTGCCTTGGAAGCTGTAGCTTCGTGTGTGCAGCAGCAGGAACCAGTTCTTCTTGTTGGTGAGACTGGTACTGGTAAGACTAGCGTCGTCCAACACCTTGCTTGGCAGTTAGGAGTGCCTCTCATCGTACTGAACATGAGCCAGCAAACGGATAGTGCAGACTTCCTTGGCGGGTACAAGCCAGTTGAAGCACAAGGCGTTTGTATGCCTCTGCTCGAGAACTTCAACACTCTTTTCCGAGAGACCTTTCCAAAGAAGAAGAATGCTGAATTGCTAGAGCATGTACTTCGATTTGCAGAGAAGAGGAAATGGGATAGGCTGCTGAAATCTTTTCGTACTGTAATTGGGACTGTTTCGACGCTGTTGGGTGCATCTTTTGAGGCTAATGGAAATGTGACGACTTCAGAAGTAAAGGATTCGGACAATGGGCATTGTGTGGAGAAGCAGAGCCCCAAAAGAAGGCGTCCTCTTAACAACAGACTCCTAAGTCGATGGCGAGCTTTCACATCTGAATTACGAAAGGCTGAACGGCAGGTGGAGGCTGCAAATACAGGATTTGCTTTCTCATTTGTTGAGGGAGTACTTGTGAAGGCTATTCGGGAGGGTCATTGGCTTTTGCTGGACGAAGTGAATCTAGCCCCAGCTGAGACATTGGAGAGACTAACGGGCGTTTTGGAAGGGACATCTGGCACATTATCGCTCACAGAGCGCGGTGATGTTGAAAATGTGTCTCGCCACCCCAATTTCCGTATTTTTGGATGTATGAATCCAGCAACAGATTTTGGGAAACGTGACTTACCAATCGCGCTTCGAAATCGTTTTACAGAGTTGTATATTGATGAATTGACACAGAAAGAGGATTTGCAAGCCTTGGTGTTTCAGTATCTTGAGAATTCAATTCCCTCTCCACCTGTGGAAGATATTGTTAACTTTTACCTGCAAGCGCGTCATGAGGCTGGAATTAGGCTCTTGGATGGAGCCAACCAGAAGCCGCAATATAGTTTAAGGTCCCTTACAAGAGCACTTGAATACACGTGTGCTGCTATGTCTACATATGGTTTTTTGAGATCATTGTATGATGGTATCTGTATGTCTTTTCTGACTCTTCTCGATCAACCAAGTGCTACAATTATGGAGCAACTTATTAATGCTGCTTTGTTCAAGACTACGGGGCTTGGTGCGACGAAAGCTTTGAAGGCTCTACTTAAAGTCCCACCAAAGCCCAGTCCCACCCATGTTTTGGTTGAGCATATTTGGGTGGAGAGTGGTAATGCTCAGCCGTCAAGGTTAGATTTCTTCAATTTTTTTCTAAATAGATTTGAGGTGGTACAGCCTCAGCTTTCATCAGTAGCCAAGTCTGTTCTTTTCGACTTGTAGTAGTTTTTAAACTTGCAACTCAATATTTTGTTTTTTCTTCGATTTTGTAAGTTGAATATCTAAGTATATCTTCTACTTTTAATTCCTTTCCTGACTGTTTTCGCTGGCAGGTTGTCTTTGGAATCTCGAGATCGGTATGTGCTCACAAAGACTATCACAGAGCATCTTAAGAATTTGGCAAGGGCAGTATTTGTTCGCAAGTATCCTGTTTTATTACAGGGGCCAACTTCAAGTGGGAAGACAAGTTTGGTTGAATATCTGGCTACCATAACAGGTCATCGGTTCGTCCGTATCAACAACCATGAACATACAGATCTTCAAGAGTACCTTGGCTCCTATGTAACTGATTCTTCAGGAAAGCTGGTCTTTCAGGAAGGAGCTCTTGTTGAAGCTGTGCGAAACGGTTTCTGGATTGTCCTGGATGAATTGAATTTAGCCCCTTCTGATGTGTTGGAGGCTCTTAATCGCCTACTGGATGATAACAGAGAGCTGTTTATTCCTGAGATTCAGCAGACAATAAAGCCGCATCCGCATTTCATGTTATTTGCGACACAAAACCCCCCTGGTATTTATGGAGGTCGGAAGGTTCTCTCAAGAGCATTTCGTAATCGGTTTATGGAACTGCATGTTGATGATATTCCTGATGATGAGTTATGTATGATACTGGAGAAACGGTGCCAGATTCCCGGAAGCTATGCCGCTAAGATGATTGAGGTTATGAAGGACTTGCAGAGACATAGACAAGGTAGCAAGGTGTTTGCTGGGAAGCACGGATTCATAACTGCTCGCGACCTGTTTCGATGGGCTGAACGACATGGCAATGGATATGTAGAGCTAGCCAGGGATGGTTACTTGCTGTTAGCAGAGAGACTGCGGAATTTAGATGAGAAGGAAGTGGTGCAAAGAGTACTCGAAAAACATATGCGTGTGAATTTGGATGTGGACCAGCTTCATGAGATGGATTCATCTGAATCATTTAAGGCCATCAAGAAGCTGGCAGAGTCACCAGAGCATGTGTCGACTTTTGGTAGGATTGTTTGGACGAAGAGTATGAAGCGGCTTTTTAACTTAGTTGAGCATTGTGTGAAGCATTGTGAGCCTGTTCTGTTAGTAGGGGAGACCGGGTGTGGAAAGACAATGGTATGTCAGCTGCTGTCTTTGCTCTACAACCAACGTCTGCATATTTTAAATTGTCACCAGCATTCAGAGACTTCGGACTTTCTTGGTGGCCTACGTCCAGTTCGGGATCGAGACAGCCTTGCAATTAAGTTCCAGAAAGCTGCTGAGAAGATTATCTCTGTGGACTTGTTCCGAGAAGTTTGTTCTGATGAGCTTCCTGTGAAGATAGAGGAGTCTGGAACGGCATTGACCATTGTAAAAAATGCTCTTTCAGGTGTGTTAATTTGCTCTTGTCATTACATTATCGACTGCTCTGGGCTCCCCGTACTTCACATCTATTTCTTCAGTAGGATTAATTAACGTTACTTTGAATTTGTAATCGATTACTATGTTTTACTCGCTAGCACTCATTGATGTGTCTCAGTCAAGTGCTTTTAGCCGTAGCTGACTTTTTTTTTTTTTTTTTTTTTTTCTTTGGAAGCACTATTTGGGGATGCGGCCTGGATTTGACACTCTAATTTTTGTTATTTTAAGCTCCTGGGTCCTTTGTTCTGATCTTTATGTGTACTGCGGAGATTTATAGATGCCCGAGTTTTTATTCGACAAATTAACTCTTTTCTGCAACATTTGGTGCATTTTGCAGATCTGAAGAAAAGAAAACAGGATAAGAAAGGCAAAGTAGCCAAAGCAGTAATGCTTCTGGAAGAAGCTTTGAAGGAACTTTCAAATTGCCACAAAGAATGGCAATCTCTCTTTGTGTGGCATGACGGTCCACTCGTTCAGGCTATGCGCAATGGTGATATGTTTCTTGTGGATGAGATATCTCTTGCGGAAGACAGTGTTTTGGAGAGACTCAACAGTGTGCTTGAGCCCAAGCGCCTATTGGTATTCAACACATTTTCACCTTGGCAATGATTTGTGCTGACGTTTTGTTTGCTTTTGTGGACTGGCTTGACATCTTGTCACTGGTTGGTGTTATTGACTAGCGTACTGGAGATTCATTTATATATATTTATATTTTGAAAAAATGGTTTCTAGACTTAATGCTTTTTCAAAATAACGTTAATTTTACAATATCATTTTACAGGTCTTAGCAGAAAAAGGAGGTGCTGATGTAGAGGAGTTGATAGCCAACTCAAGTTTTCGTATCTTGGCTACAATGAACCCCGGAGGAGACTTTGGCAAAAAAGAACTGTCTCCTGCTCTGAGAAATCGTTTCACTGAGATTTGGGTTCCTCCAATCAACGATATAAGCGATCTAAGAAGCATTTCTGTGGACAGATTTTCAAGGCCTGGTCTTGTTAAGTTAGTGGACCCCATGCTTGAATTTTGGCAGTGGTTTCAACATTATCATGAAGGCGGAAGGTCGCTTTCAGTGCGAGATCTCTTGTCATGGATTACTTACATCAATGCCGCTGAATCGGAAATCGGCGAAATTCCTGCATTTATTCATGGTGCTTTCCTGGTTCTTCTGGATGGAATCGGTTTTGGACTGGGGCTTTCTAATTCAGCTGCTCAGCAGCTGCAAACTGAGTGCGCAAAACATTTGTTTGAGCGGTTACCCGAACATCAGCGGCACGATGCAGTTGAAACGACGAAATTGGGTGATCACACATTTGGACCTGTTAAAACAGACCCGATGGAGGTTGAAACGGACTCTAGGGGCAACTTATTTGGAATACATCCTTTCTACATTGTTAGAGGTGATTACAGATCACCAAACATTAGCTTTGCATTGGATGCACCTACTACGAAGCGCAATGCGTGGCGAATACTGCGTGCCCTGCAGCTGAATAAACCGGTTCTTATAGAAGGAAGTCCAGGTGTTGGTAAAACAAGCCTGGTGGCAGCTCTAGCAGCTGCCTCGGGTCACGCTTTAGTGAGAATCAATCTTTCTGAGCAGACAGATATCATGGATTTGCTGGGATCAGATATGCCAGTTGAAGGAGGAACTGGTGCAGAATTTCAGTGGTCGGATGGTGTATTTCTTCAGGTTATCATTCTATACCTTGTTTTGTCATGGTGCTCCCCAACTTGTATATAGCTTTTTGAAGTCGCTGGGTGATGGCTACTTGCCCAGCATGTCCGAATTTCTCTAGGAAGTGTTCAGCGCATCTTGAGGGAGTTTCGTTTCTTGTTTCTTTTTGATTGGTACTCCTTTGAGTACATATCTTCTGTTCATCTACTTTCCGTGGCACTTATTTCACAGATTGTTTTCTGACAGGCTCTCAAAGCTGGACACTGGGTGCTTCTTGACGAACTCAACCTTGCATCACAATCAGTGCTAGAAGGTTTGAATGCATGTCTTGATCATCGAGGGGAGCTGTTCATACCCGAGCTTGGTCGCTACTTTAAATGTCCTTCCTCATTCCGCGTGTTTGCCTGCCAAAATCCATTATCTCAAGGAGGAGGTCGCAAAGGTCTACCAAAGTCTTTTTTGAATCGGTTCACTAAAGTCTATGTTGAATCCCTCTCTGAAGATGATTTCTTGGAAGTTGCAAGCATCTTACACCCTTCTCTTTCAAGATCAATTCTGAAAAACATGGTTGAGTTCAATTCTCGGTTGTATCATGACACAATGGTCCTTCACAAATATGGACACTCTGGCTCTCCTTGGGAGTTTAATCTTAGAGATGTACTAAGGTGGTGTGAGCTTATGGAAAATTCCAAGGTCGAGCTACCAGATGGTGATTCACATACTGGCGCACCAGATCATTTTCTTGATGTCATGTATCTCCAGCGCATGCGAACAGTTGGTGACAGGCGCCAAGTCCTCAGTCTCTATCAGGAAGTTTTTGGTATATGTATTGATATCGAGACTTTTCCAGCAATTTCAGTTCATCCCGAGAGGTTACAGGTAGGTTTAGCATCTCTTCCTCGCAGAAGTGGACCTCGTCTACAAGGCGATTTTGACAGGCAGTTGCAAGTTTTGCCAGGTTTAGCGAACAGGTTAGTCTTTCGCAATCATTCTTCTACCCTTTTTTATTTTTTATTTTTTATTTATTTTTTATTATTTTAATCTTTGATTGTCAATTTGTATTATCTCAGATATTTTAGAGAACCATCGATTTATACCTAGTCGATATCGTGGATTTGTATTGATTCATAGATGCAGTAATTCATATTACTTTTTCCTATTTTGTATCTTGAAAGGAATGTTTGGGTGCAGGTTAGAAGCCGCCATGCACTGCGTCTCCAGAGGCTGGATGTGTATTCTAGTTGGGCCTCCTGCATCAGGAAAAACTTCCCTTGTGCGCTTGCTGGCCACCCTTACAGGTAATTCTTTACATGAATTTACCTTATCCAGCGCGACAGATACCACAGAGCTGCTCGGTTGCTTCGAACAACATGATTTCTTTCGACATTGGCAGGAAATCGTGAAGTTGGCTCATGATTCGCTGAAGTCTGTCTGCAGCTTCTGCTTGTCTGTCAATGAAGGTATTCTTCCTTCTCTTTCTTGACTAGAATAGTATATTGAGTATCTTTGTAATATTATTGCCTTGGAAACATTGCGTAGTTCTGTAAATCAAACCCTCTGAAGCTTGAGCTGGAAAGAGCTGTTATGCACTATTAGAAGCATAAGCATGACATTTCGTTTATTTTATTTTAAAATTTTATGATATTTTTTAATTGAATTTTATGTTTCGAGAACCCAGTTCTAATTCAGGTGTTCCTGTCTCAGAGGGTTCTTTGGAGACCAACCTTAAACTGAATATGGTAAAGAGTCTCTTTGGGTCTTGGGCTGCCTTTCAGAAGACAATCAATAGCCATGCAACCAATATGGAGCAGGACATTGATCAAGGTGTTATAGATGTAGTGGCTGTCAATATGCTTCTACAGACCTTGGACCAGATGCGCCAAACAGTTGCGTTATGTGGAATGATTATGGATGATCCTGTGCTAGACCCACGTAATTTACATCAAAGAGTGGCCCACGTGAAGTCTAGTCTTGGGCAGCTGGGTACTGCTGGTCGTTTCGAATGGGTCGATGGAGGACTGCTGAAAGCTATTGAGCGTGGGGAATGGGTAGTACTTGAGAATGCCAACTTTTGCAATCCTACGGTACGTTATTGTTTACAAACCTATGAGCATGAAACAGCTAGTAGAACTGGATCTGCTGTGGGCAAGATCGCGGATAGAGTTTCAAGAAAGTGAATGTGATGAGTCGATGCTGATATATTTTAGTTGCTTCACGACAGTCCCTACTGTGTAGCACTGTAATATCTTCTCTTTTATAAAACTAGTGTGGATCTACGATGAAAAGTCCTCGTGGCACTCAAAAACGAAATGTCATCAGACTCAGATTGACTCCGCTAGACATCAATTTTCGCATGTTTATACACAATTGTTTCGACTTTTTATCCATCGATATAGTGCACATCTTTTTCTCTGCACATAAAAAGCAGTTGCATATCTGAGTTCACCATCGTGTTCATAATTTTCTGGATGTGTTTTGACAGGTTCTTGACCGACTGAATCCTCTACTTGAACCTGGAGGTAGCATCATGGTTAATGAGCGTGGTCTTGTGGAGGGTGAAGCCATGGTTGTTCATGCTCATCCCAACTTCCGCCTCTTTCTCACAGTGGACCCTGCACATGGTGACGTCTCAAGAGCCATGCGCAACCGTGGAGTTGAACTGTTTATGCTACAACCTGATTGGCCTCAGTCAGCTGCAAAAGAATCTCCAATTTTGGAAGAAATTTTGGGAGGAACCCTCGCTTCTGACCTTGATACTTTGAAAGTTCTCACTCAAGCTGGAATCCCTGGTCCTAGTTTTATGCAAGGCATGTGTAAAGTACATATTGACACTCGTATCCTTATAGAGGTCACTCAAAGTGGGTTGCCTGTGTCTTTACGAGAGCTTAATGAATGGGTGTCGTTGCTCCAGCAGCTTCTTGAAAGGGGTGGCAGTTTATCGTGGTCTTTGTCATGCAGTTGGGAACAAGTTTATGCTCGTCGTCTTAATACTGTAGAGGCTAGGCAAGAAGCCATGGAGAAATTTCAATCCACGGTAGGATCTTTGAATCTTTTGAGTGCTGGTACCTGGAGACAGATTGGGTGCAGTATCCCTGGAGGTTGGCCATCTCCTTTGACTTTCGCGGAGTACTGCCTTACGTCCAAGGAGGCAATGATTATGCGTGACAGTGCACTTCTAGAGTACCTTGGTGCCCATTTTTTTGCTCTCAAAGCATCGAGAGAGTGGACGCCAATGGATTCTGAGCACAGCGAGCCGTTGAAGCGCATTCAAGACTCCAGAACTATAGCTTCACGGCTTCCTTCAAATATGCTTTACTACCTCTTAAACCCTAAGCAAGAACGAACTAACAGCATTCCCCTACTTGATGTCAAAGCACAAGATTTAGATCTTCAACTGCTTTTTGCCAGCTTGTGGATGTTGGAACAAGGAAGCTATGTAGACATCAATTTTCGGATCCAATGGCTTGGTTACTTAACGGATTATTTACAGGGTTCTTCTGGTAGCCTGAAACGTATGGTTACTGCTGTCCAACGTGAGATTGCCCATCCTTTCTCTCGGGAGCTGTCGTGTATGTGGGAGAGGTACTTGCGGGAGGGAAAATATAATTACGGTACTGTAGCCTCCGTCGTCTCACGTTTCGTCAGCCAGATGACCGAACGGCCAGCTACACTGAGAAATTTGGAATACTTAGAGAATAAGAGCACTTTGGGAACGTTGATCTTTATGGCGACTAGATCACACATCTTTAGACGATGTTTGCTTCAATGGGAAGAAGAAGATGATCAGTATAGAATGGTGGAGAAGCAAGGTCCCAACTCCTCAAGTAGCCCAGTCGTGCTGTCTTACTGGCATCGTATCCACCGGGCAGATCATTCTCGTCTTGTGTCTGCTCAACATCCAAGAGCTATGTTGATCTACTTGTATCCGTTGTTTTCTGCCTTACGTGAATTGGAGAATAGTGTGCTAGTGTCAAGCACTCTTGAATGGTGGAAAATTATGATGGGGTCTTGCCTGGGCGTACTCGAGTGGCATGAAGCTCTTTGGAATCACTTGAGAAGACCGAAGTTCGATGTTGAATGCTTTCTCTTTCACTGGAGCTCATTGAAACGTAGTCTACAGGCTCTTTACGCAGTAACAGACAGGTCCTCTGAATCTGTTGTGAAGGCGGAAGATGATGTGAAGGGGCTTGTCAAGTTAATAGACGAACCGTTTTCTTTAGGGGATAATCCTCTTGCAAAGCCTCTTTTGTGGAAAAATTCTGGTCATCCTAGCCTACCTCACTCGAGAGAGATTTACGATTTGGAAGTTAAGGTTATGAAGATATGTGAAGATTTATGGCAGGATGGAGTTAATGATGTTACCATTATCAGTACAGATGGTAATATTCGTCAACTGACGACAACAGGGCTGAGTATCATACGCTGGCTGGGTCAGGACACTACGCAGGGGACTGTAGAAAGAAGCATTTTTGTTGAACAATTCACTCCTAATGGTGAGTCCTCTGCCAGTACGAGCTACTCTGACGCTTCTTCAGTCCATGAGATGCTGAAGGAAAGAGTAGAACTTGAAAAGGCGAATTTATCTCCTGTGGGCGACCATGATATCATTCCACTGCTGAAATCATCTGCTCCGTGTCCTGCTCCTAAAAGTTCTAGAAGTGAACTTCAGAACACTTCGTGTCCTGTGTTTCCAAAAGAGTTGCTGCGATGGCGAAGTGCTTGGACTCTCTTTGCTGAACTTTTACCTTGGCTTAGCAATGTAAGCATATGTCAAGATACAAGACTGATAGCTGAAGTCTCACTTCTGGCTGGAACTGAATGTGGGTCAGAGGAAAGTTTTCTGTCGATTCTCAAAGACAGTGTCTCGGTGGTTGCTTTGAAGAAAATGATTGACTTTGCCATTTTCTGTTCTGCAAGATCTCCAGCTGATCTGGTCCCTCACCAACACCTTCTATGGCTACTGGAAGGAACACATCCTAAAAAGTATGGAATATGGTCTTCATTTCGAGAGATAAGTCATGAGTTGTTGTATAGATGGCATTCAGCCTTGTGGACGAACATGCTAACCGCGTCAAGTGCACCGGAAGACTGGTGTCGAGTAGTGGGTCCTGCAAGGATTTTCTATGCTGGACAGACTGTACATTTTTCCAATTTACTTGGTCGAACTGGCGCTGTACGGGACCATTATGCGAAGCTTACCCAACTCAGATTGGCATCAGTTCACGTCTGGACTCAGGCGAAGCTGGAGGTTAGTGATATATTTGTGTCAAGCGTGTGCAGTGCGAGTGCCATTTTTCAGCAGATTATATTCTCCCATAGGAAATCTTTTCAGGAAGATGATTACCTTTCCTGGTCAGCATGCTTTCTGTACTACACTCAGGTATTATGGGAAATAAGTCCGAGTTGTCGAGAAACGAGAATGAAATACTTGAGAGACTTTCTACCTTATTAAAGCAATCTCAGCATACCGAGTTTTTGAAATTTCTTGGGCCTTTGTTACTTCCTTGTATGAATCTCTTATATTCCACTGCTTGGAAAGATACGAGTTTCAGCCAGTATCTTATGAACCTTGGAAGACTATGGCTCTATATGGGGGAACTCCGACTACATTTGATGTTGCCGTCAGATGGATGTGATCCAGTTGCTAAGTATATTCATAAATATGCCCATCTTTCAACGCAACTCACACGGCTGGAATTAGATATAAAAGTGAGGCAGGAGAGTGAGTTTTGGGTTAGAGGTAGCCGAAACTCACCAAAGACTAATGAGCTTCTTCTGAAGCTTGAAGACATGAAACAAGAATTGACTTCTTTGTCTTTGAAGTTGGTTCCACGTCCTGATCCTCCACAATTTAGGAGCGTCTTAAGTGAAGTTCTTAATTTTTTGAAGTCCTCTGTTTATAAAGAAAGGTTGTTTATTCTGGCAGCCGATTTATCGTTGGATTCAGGAAGTTCACGAATTATGCACGAGGTTTCTACATGGCAGGAGAACGCAATGCAATTTATTAATCGGTTGGCTTCACAGTTTCCTGCATACAGAGATGTGGTACAGCCAGTCTTACTGGCGGTATATGAGCTAAAATTTGGACTATCTCTTTTACAAGCTGGCCGTGTTCAAAGAGACCTCTTTGATAAGAATGATGTGAGCATCGGAGAGAATGGATTTGAAGAACTTGTCTGTAGGCTCATGCAGTTTCCTACTTCGAGAAGCGACTTGGGTCACAAGATCTCGGCATCGTGCACAGAGCTAGTGACGAATACCACAGAAGCAATTATCAGGAAGGTGACCAGCTCCCTTTTGTCTGGCTCTATCCATGGAGAGGTTCTGGATCTGGAGCTGAAAGTGATGGTAATGCGGGTTGCCATTTTGCGTTGTGGAATTGATACACAGCAAGCAAGAGTCAGGACGAAGGATGTTGTCAAGGCTGTAAACAACATATTTAATACCTTGGCCTCCTTGTGGTCCGAGATTCGAGAAAGACAAAAAGCCAGAGAAAAGCAAGAGGAGTTTATACGTTTTACTACTCGAACGCACACTTTGGAAACTGAAGATGAAATAGAAGAAGCATCTTTTCGAGAGATGTTCGTAGACTTCAGAGATGAATTCCCCGGTTACGATGACGACACTGGGATGCTTACTGCTGAATTGGATGATAGAAGGGCTGAAGCAGCATTAAAAGAGAAAGAAAAAGCCGCCGAGGATGCGAAACTAAGATCTGATAAAGCATGGTTGAAAATACAGGAGCCTCTCATTGAGAATGTTGTGTCAGTTCACAAACATATTTTTGGTCAGATATCTACACTCTTGATAACTAAGCGTGGAACTAGAGACGAGCTGGTTTCAGATTGGGAGAGAGAAAATGCACTGTCACTGGCGTATCAGACTGGAGTACGTTTACTTGGAGCTGTTGGCTATAGAGCATCTGCCAAGGTAGAAGATATACTCATGACATCACACATGATGCAAGTGAGTGTTGAGCATAAACGAATTGGTGATTTGTATCAATCCTCCGAGATTAAAACCACCAAGTACAGCATTTACAAGGATCCTAATCCCCCGGAGATGGCACTGATGTTAGAACCCTTGAGACAGTTTTTAGAACGCGTCAGTGGTCTATTAGTCGAATGGCCAGATCACCCTATTTTGATACAATTTTTGACTATCGCTAAGGCTCTTGTGGGAATATCTGTAGAAGCCCCAATCATGAAAGCACTCACTGGGGTAGAGCTGTTACTTTCGAAAGCCCAAATCTGGGAAGAAACTGCTGCCAAACATGTCTCATTGGCGAGAGAGATGGGTGAATTGATGAAATTGGTGAGAAGATGGCGAAAGCTGGAACTTGAAAGTTGGCCTGCTTTGCTTGAATGCACTTTAGAGAAGCATGAAAAGAGTGCTGAGAAATTGTGGTTTTTCCTTTATGGATTACTCCACAGAGAATTTGGTGAGAATTTAAATAAGGAAATGGAAGCCACAATTTCTAGTTTAGAAGAGTTCATGCAAACCTCGCCCCTTGGAGAGTTCCAAAGACGTCTCGACTTGCTAAGTTCTTTTCATGGACAGTTTTTATTGGAAGATATGTATGATGATCCTCATGTTGGGTCATCTAAAGCTGCTGTGCAGAAGCTTTGTAACGCTTTGTACAATGTCGGGGAGTACTACTCTCAGTTCCTGCCTGCAGTAGAGGAAGCTTTGACGGCTGGGAAGGCCCCTATTGAGAAAGAATTGAAGGGATTTGTGAAGTTGACGAAATGGGAGGATCGAGGTTATTATGCACTGGCCATATCTGCAGAGAAAACTCACCGGAAGCTCCACAAGTTGATTCGCAAATATGACGAGCTTTTGAAGAAACCTATCATGGAGGTGTTATCAAAACAATCTTTACGTATGGGTACTCAAACTCTTGCGACCCTAACCACCTCATCAGAGCCTTCTCAAACTGGCGAAGAGCCCTCAGATAAATCTATGCACATGGATGACAAGCCTGTACCTGCTGCTCTTCCTGGAGAAGAGCTCTCCTCAAGTCGAGGAAGTCCCAGCATCACTGCATGGGACCAGTTTTGTGGTACGAAAGTTGCAGATGTAACTTCGTTGACCTCGGAATTTGGTCAAGGACTTCCAGAGTTGAATAAGCGGTTACCGTCTATAACTGCAAGGATGGGTACTTTACTAGGAGTTGGAGTATTTGCATCAGATACTCGGAAGGTTGAAGAAGATTGCGTGAATACCTTGGAAGAGTTCAGTGCTGCCGTCATACAACGGTCAGCTGAGTTGAGGAAGGGGGAAACGAAGGTTGCTGTCAAGAAGAAAGCCCTTATTGACCTTCTTAGAGCATTGAGAGACATTGGACTGTCTCATCACAAGTCAGCTGTGCCTAAAGATGAGAGACATGTTAATGATTGGTTCCAGCAGCCAGGATGTGATCTAGCAGAAGTGCTGATGTTGTGGGTACATCAAGAAGTTGAAGTTGTTGCTGGATTATCTAGCATTGTTTCTATTGAAAATGTCTGCAGTGTGTGGACACGCGCTAAAAAATACTATTTTCAGAACGTTGCACTCCTCCAACGGCTTGGGCAGAATGCCCTTGCCTTTAACAAAGCATTAAGTTTGCGCGAAGTTGAGGTTTCTTCAAAGTACATGGAACATTTACTGTTTCTGCAAAGAAAACAGCGACGTACTGCCTTTGAGTTTTCATCGAAGCTTAGTTCACTTGTTCATTTAACAAGTCTCTTATCAGGTAAATATGTTCTCTGTTCGTTCGCTTTATTGTATTTTGCTGCTGAGATGTTTGATCTTGACGTTTGTGCCTTCTCTAATATTTTCCTCTTCCAGGTTTTGCAGCTAAGGATTCGAAATTTCCTTATCAGAGAAATAGTAGGCAGTGGATGTGGCAACAAAAGGGTCTTCTAGACTCTCTATGTCATGCAAGCTCAGAATTAGTCCTCCTCTATAGGGCAGCTGAAGCATCACAGAAGTCTCCTAATACAGACTGCTCTGAAGCAGCTTTACTTCGCAAAGCTGTTCTGCAAATATCACGTAAACTGGATGTTTGTAAGAACACGTTGGACCATTTCCTGGTTCCTCGAAGTGAGTTGGTGGGCTCCAGACCTTTGGAAGAGTGTTGGCCCTTGTTGATCACACCAGGCATGCAGGAAGTACTCACTGAGAACTTTGTTTCTTTGAGAAGTACAGAAAACCTATTACAAGAAGTACGCAAAGGTTTAACTGGGTCTAAAGTGCCAGGGCTGAGTTGCCTGGAGCTTCTTTTCAGCCGAGCAGTAGATATGTCCAATAAATTTGAGGAAGAGTGTAGCAGAACAAACTGCACCTATTCTATCGAACAGGAAAAGGCAGTGAACATTGCTCCTTTAACAGAGCACTACGATAAGATTGTGACTGAAATTCAATTGGCGGTTCAGAACCTTCGAACATACACAGGAAATACTTCTGCTGCTACCCAAGAATCTGATACTGGAGAGTCCGAGCATGCAGGCACGATTCAGGATGTGGATCAATCTATCAGCAAGAAAATGCTAGCTTTACGTTTTGAGAAGATATACGGAGAATTGCTGAGGTTAATCTGCGCAGGTAAACCAAGTTTCCACATTGTATGATTTCGAGATAGATGTTTACATTTCTTTTTCTATTTCTTTTTGGAAGTCTACCTCTCAAACCTGTGCCTATTTTAATTGGTTTTTAGTGGTATAAGAATCATTTCATTTATTAAATATCTTGTTCTTTGTTTTCTACATAAGAAGCCCTACTAGTAAAATTTATTTTCTTTCAATATAGTTGGTTTTTAGTTGCACTGTTGATGACATCCTCTGAGAAACACTTATTGCAGGTGCAGAGATTATTGATAATGAACATGGCACGGAAGAACATGCTCGTGCGGCTTTAGGGAAGCTCCTTGGTTGTATACATGCTCCGTTACAGATATTAGAGGTGGCTGGGGCCCAGTTGCTTGCAGATTATGTTGTTCTGCAGAAAGCTGTGTCCAAACTCAGCTATGTATTGACCAACTTGTTTTGCTCTCTATACTCGGAAGGATTTTGCTTAACTAAGGAGGAGGAGAGTGAAGCTAGTGGAACGAAATTTGAGGAAGCCGATGGAACCGGCATGGGAGAGGGTGAAGGGCAAAAAGATGTCAGTGATCAAATTGAAGAAGAGGGCCAGCTACTTAACAGCACAGAAAAAAATCAAGATCCTCCAACGGATGATTCTAGAAAGAAGAAGGAGAAGGGTATCGAGATGGAAGAAGACTTTGATGCCGACATGCTTGACCTCAGCGACGATGAATCCGATGATGAGAACGAGGCAGAGGAAGAAAAGGATGAGAAATTGGAGTCACAAATGGGAGAGGAAGGTGAAAAGAGTGAAGTTGTGGATGAACAGCTATGGAATGGTGATGATGACAAGAATGAGCAGCAGCAACAAGGTAAAGAGAAACAAGAAAAAGGCTCAAGTATGTCGGGTGCTGAGGAGGAGGATCTGGAGATGCGAGCTAAAGAAGAAGGTAATGAAGATGGCAAGGGCGACAAAGGGGATGAAAAGGCGGAGAAGGAAGGGCCAACTGATCCTTTAGCCAGCGACCAAGAGCAAGCACAGCAAGCAGAACATGACATGGATGACGATGAGGGTTTGAAAGAAGATGAGGCTTATGAAGATCCTAGTGGTGTTAAACCACGAGTAGAAGAAGAGCTGGAGCTTCCCGATGACCTGAATTTGGGTGGGGGTATGGAAGAAGGCCAGGAGGAGACTGCAGAGGGAGATGACGAAGGTGGACAGGAGGCCGTTAAACAGGAGGACAAAATGAATGAATCAGAGCCAATGGATGTTGATGATAATGCCAACTTGGCTGAAGAAAATGAGACGGGTGAGAATAAGAATGAAGTTGATCAGGGAGATGAGGACAATAACGCAGAAAACAAAAATGATGCAGAACAAGAACAAGAGAATGAACGGGAATCTGGGAAGGCTGAAGTTGAAGATGAGGAGCGTGATTCAAGTATGAACAAAGAAGAAGAAAGCATGCAAGTGGATGGTAATGAGCTACAGGGTGAAGGTCCATCCCATGATGAACCCGAACCTGAACAATCTCAGCCTCCGTTGCCCGAAATGGCAGAAAACATGCCTTCAGATTCTAGAGCAACAGGAGGTGCGGAGGCTGTTCCAGCAGGTGTCTCCGGCAGGCAAGGGGATCCTGTCAAAGTTGGGCAAGATGATGAGGATCATAAGTTGGGGGATGCTGAAACTCAAGTTGATCAGTCTCAGTCTGAACTGCTGTCATCAGCGACTGAAGATCTTCTAGGAAACAAGAGATCTGCAGATAAAAAGTCAGTGTTGTCTGATGACGCAACTAAGAAGCAGGACAGGCCAGAAGCAAATGCTAACAGAAGCCTGGGTGATGCTTTGAAGAAGTGGAAGGAGATGGTTCAGATGCTAGATAATAGCTCTGCGCCTGAAGCAGATATTGCAGAGAAAGATGAAGAGAACTTGAATGAAGAAAGCACGGGTATGGCGTACGAGTACGTGCCTAAGGAGGACACAGGAAGTGCACAAGTACTTGGAGCTGCTACAGATGAACAGTTGACAAATGCTCAGAGCCTTGAGGGTCAGGAATCTGAGGATGAGAAAGAGAAGGATGATACTGATACTGTGCTGCCAAGTATAGAAGAACTGGAGCTTGATGACAGCAAGGAAGGTCAAGATGATATGGAAGGAGTGGAAGCGACTCAACATCCTCTTAAAACAAGGAAGGGACTGGCATCAGATTCGAATCAACCGAACTCTGAAGAACGGCAAGATGATGTTACTGCGCTCCTAGCTCTGGAAGAGGATCCAATCTCAGAGGTAGTTGAGAGAAAAAAAGAAAACGACAGTCTTGTTTCTCTTCGTATGCCACAAGCTTTGGCTTACGAGGGATTGAGGAGGAATGGTGGGCCTGAAGAAAAGCCCCTGACTGAAGAGGAGATGAGGGAAATTAGGAGAGATTTGGAAATTAAGATTCAGAGTGGAGATGGGAGTATGGAGAATGCAAGAGTGGTGTGGCAGAAGCTCGAACAGATGACAGTGCGATTATCACAAGAGCTGGCAGAGCAACTGCGCCTGATTTTGGAGCCTACTCTAGCAGCCAAACTTCAAGGAGATTATCGTTCTGGTAAACGTATCAATATGAAGAAGATCATACCTTATGTTGCAAGTCAATTTAGGAAGGACAAGATATGGCTGCGAAGGACCAAGGCCAGTAAGAGACAATATCAGATAGTGTTGGCTATTGATGATTCTCGCAGTATGTCGGAGAGCCACTGTGGGCACATGGCTTTGGAGGCCCTCTTCACAATTTGCAAGGCTATGTCACAGCTTGAAATTGGGGAGATGGCTGTTGCAAGCTTTGGAGAGAAAGGGAATGTGCGCCTCCTTCACGATTTCGACCAGACGTTTTCATCTGAGTCTGGATTGAACATGATCTCACAATTTACTTTCAAGCAAGACAACACCATTGAGGATGAGCCGATTGTAGACTTGCTCCAATATCTAACCCGTTTGTTAGACTTCAAATCCAGACATTCAACTGCACCTTCGGGAAGGAACGATCTGCAACAGCTGGTACTAGTGATTGCGGATGGCAGATTTCATGAGAAAGAAAGTTTGAAAAGACGTATACGAGAGGCTATGGACAGGAAGCAGCTACTGGCTTTTCTGGTGTTGGATAACCCGCGTGAATCGATTCTTGACATGCAATCGGTTTCTTTCTCTAATGGAGCCCCAACTTTTACCAAGTATCTGGACTCGTTTCCTTTCCCCTACTACATTCTTCTCCAAGATATTGAGTCACTTCCTCGCACTTTGGCGGACCTTTTACGGCAGTGGTTTGAGTTGACTCAGCGCTTATCCTAGTTTCGAAGTATTGCTGCTGTGCACAGCTTCACGCAGTAGTTTTTCTTGCCTCTGGAAAGGGACAGCATGAAGGTTAGATAATTTATCTCGTCGATGAAATTTTTGTTTTGTTATCTACATAATGCTTAATTCTGAACGGTGGATCACCGCTCGTATTGGCATCTGTTAATTAACTAAGAATTTTGATCCTTGCAGAACGATGTTAACATGCTGGAGAGACAGGGGTGCGCGCTCAAGCGTCATCCTCAGGGATCGGATGTTGTAACATAGTTAGGTGGCTAGAAACGTGTTTTCTTTTACAGAGGATTATACTTCTATGGAATGAACCATAATCGGATTTTGCAGTAATGCGTAGTTTTTACCCTCATTTTTGGGAGCTTATGTTTGGCTCCTCTCAATGTTTTGTTTCCGCTGAAATGGAATACATCTTTACACAAGTTGGGTTGGTATCTGTGATTCTGATAAATGCACTAACAAGTAACATGGGGGTAACAGTAAATCATTAGTAAATCATTTCATTTGATGTGTGTTGCAAATTTTGGTTAATTTTTTTCTCTATGCCCAATCCAACCAAAGTCCATCTCTGTTGCAGATCACTGAAAATGGAATTCTGAAGTGCCGAAAACTGATGTCAACCTCCCTTAGGTGGTGGTATCCAAAACCACAGAGCTCAATCTGTAGCGATGTGTGTCCATCAGAAATGTGGTGCCACAATATGAAATTTCTGTTGGGCTGGTACTAAGCCTCATGAGCAAGAGATACAGTTCCAAATATACTCACTGTGGAATAGCAGTTTTGTAATATACTTGTCGGCTAGTCGGTTATTCACAGGTTAATTGACGTTTGCAGAAATGAAAGAAACACTGATCCATCCGTGATGTACTTTTGTTCAGAAATCATTGATCCCATGTTCTGCTTGGGAAATTACCAAAAGGTTTTAGTTTGCTTGGTTGATCGATCAACGGATTCGGGGTTTTCCTGGAATTCAACGACGCCGAGTTGAAGCAGGGAGTGCTGACGCCTCCATACGATGCTGGCCAGACTTGATACAATCTGCCAGATCATACACCTGATCTACTCATTTTATAGCTACAGGAGATCTCAAAGGTAAAGAACTCGTACTTTGACATGTAGGTGGAAATTTGTCACCTAAAATTTGAGCACTTGACTTGACAATTCTCATTAAGAGAAATTCCTGGAAATGGCTTCTACGGAGCCTTGTGCTGCTAGAGCGTCGTTCAAATCGAACGAAATACTACACTCTACACAAAATTACCTGCGTAAAAGGCCGACCCAAACCAAGGATTTTCCAGACAGAAATACTGAATAACCTGCAAAAAGACGGAAGTTGTCGACATTGCCTCGACCAAAAGAATTAGTTGCTCTCGCTGTATCAATAAGGACGGAGGGTTACGATGATGCGAATCTAAATCACCGCATGCCCTGTTCCTTTTAGAATATTGGCCAGAACTGAAATCGCAGAGCTCTGTCCACTTGATGACCTTTCCGTGTCACTTCTCAACCGACACCTTGTGAAAAATCCCGCCATGAAGCAGCAAAGTGCTTGTGTAAAATTATGCAGCACTGGATTCGGGCCAGCTGTTACACACATCCAGGAAGCAGGCGGCATTCTCCTTTGAGACGAATACGCGATGGTTTTGTTTGTGAGAACATGAAGTGGAGGATCTAAGGTTGACGCCATACGTGCCTCAGACCGTCCACTGTCTTCCCATGCATAGGCATGTAGTTTTCGTAATGTTCATCTCGATTTGAAGGGAATATCTTGGCATCGCCACCCAAGTCCAGAGCCCTCTCATTTTGATAAACTTGGGACCCAAGTATAACACTTGTAGAATGTCTGCTCTGAGAAGCAAGGCCACTCTTAAGTCTTGGATTTCCAATTCGTTGTGAAGGTAACCTCGTCTCTGGTTGGGAGCACCAATCCTGTGCAGCATTTCGATTTTGACGCGCGGGGAGCAAATCACCCTCCCTGTGAGTTCTCCACAAATCTCCAAATGTGTTTACCAGATGAGAGTTATCAACACCTGTTCAGCCCCACAAGACACTACCTTGTCAAATGAAGTACTTGGATGCAATAACATCAACTGATCATAATGACGATCAAAGAGACTCGTTAAGAAAACATTCATAAATTCTATGAACGGCTCTCTGTACTGTATACTCTAATATGGCAAACGAAATGACAAATGACGCAATGCTTAACATCATTTCGCATTAAAGATGACCATACAGAACGGCACAAGAGCTCCTTCCCACACAATATCAATAATCAACTGAAGACTCGGAATAACCAATACATGAGCATTAGGTCTGAAAGAAGAAAGGATGCAATCGTTAGACTTTTTTTTTCTTTTTTCTTTTTTCTTTTTTCATATAAAAAACAACACTTCTAGATTTGCACACCACTATGTCCTCCGTTCCTGTAATGATGGGAGGAGTTTCTCGATTCCAGTGGCCTATTTCGAACACCAGGCTCAACATTAGGAGTATTCCTGTGCAAGCTGTGCCCCTGCAGGAATGAAACAGTGCTATCAGAACTAACGGTTGACAGTCCAATTCAACTCAAGAACCGCTGTCCTTAAGTGCTTTAAAACTAAAACACATTTGCAGACTTTGTCAACAGTGAACGGATAATCAATCAACTAAAAACGGAGGTGGTCATACTGTATTTGCAGCTTGATTCGAAGAGAGACGTGTCTCCGATTGCAAGCACCACTCTTGTCCACTGGGGGTTCTCTTGTACCGCAGAAGGGGAGAATCAGCTTGCTTGTCATCAGTTAGAGATTCACTTGCACCAGTCCATGCCGGCCTTACAGTCGGGTTCTTCGGATTCGGCTTCGGCTTCGACTTAGGTAGTCTACATAAGCATAGTGGCAAAGGCTGTGTTGCTGCATCTCCCCCAAATAGTTTGTTTAGACTCCACCGAATCAATATTAGATTGAACTCGAGCTGAAATGAACCCAAGCGCACATGCGACTTACATAAACTAAAATGATAGAAACAAGAGAAATATGACACCGGCTACTGCACGTCGTGGGAGTTCCTTATCCTGATGTTTTATCGGACGGGAAGATACGATAGGGGGATTACAGAAGAGGTTACCACGAGTGCAAGCTTTACTTGGAAGATATGAGTGCCATCTATTCAATTGACTGACGTCCATCAGTATTTGTTGCCGTCACAACCATCCACAGTACGTACCACAAATAAAAACTACCAGAGAACCGACGCGCCCACCAAAGATAGCAAGATGGGAGATAGAACACGGTTAGAGCAGAACCCCTGCATAATGTGAAGCTTCAGCAAAGACGCCAACGTCGGTGAAGAAATGGGGGAAATAAAGTGGAAGACATGAACAACACGCTGTCCTACGACGAAGACGATCACCAAGATCGAGTAAAGCAACAGAGCATGCAATCAAACATTAGTATGTCATGGTAAAATAACAATACCCACTTGCTTTTCCGTGCATGGAACCAGCAACTGCACCAGGGACGAGTCTGTTCGTTAGTGAGTATTTAATAAGGCCTGTGCCAGCGGGTTTGGCAGGTCTTGCTATAGTGCACCCTCTTTGATGCTTATGGAAGGATTTTGGGTTGAAGCGTCGCTGGCAATTAGGGCACTGAGTCAAAGTCTTTTCAAATGCTGCAAAGGCCCTGCATTACAGTTGCCACATGCACTATGGCTTTGCAGAGTTATTACCTGCTTATTCAAAAGACAAATATTGAAGCGTAGCTGTGATCGTACATATGAAAAGCCAAAAATAGACCACATGTTGGCAGCATCACGACATTGTCAGCTAATTATCAACAATGAACATAGTCCTCATTGCTTGATCGAATTCCGGAACATTGCTTTACGGTGCCCAGAATTTCAATCTATTTTTAGATTTGAAAATACCACGGTATTTTTTCGAGGGTATAGAAAACGATCGTTAAGAGGAGATTGTTGCGAGATTGATACAGACTAGTTGAAGTAAGTCACAACTTTGGGCTTACTCGGCATTAAAGTTATCGTATGCTTTACCACCACCACCTCCGATGGCCTTGTCAGCATTCGGTTGACTTGGCAGAGGGCGACGCTCATTCTTAGGCTTACTCTCCTCTTCAAGCAACCATTTCCTTTGACATTGTGGGATGTGGATTGGTAAACTGCACTTTCCGTCAGAAGTGTTAGAGCTTGATCGTGTGTGCACAGTATAGATGCTTATGTCACATTTCCTATGTTCATGTCTTGAATTATATCCGAGTAACGAACCTCCTGCTACCATACTCCCGGCCACATAGATAGCAAATAAGCATGCGGGGTCTATTCGAAGACCGGCACACGGATCCTGATTCCATCTGCGCCTGCTTTCGATCTGACGATAAAAGAAAAAGGATCATACTGCGCCCCTGCGACGAAGTCCACCATGAATTCAACATTTAATTCAACAAATTCAACTTGAGGGATTACACGAGGCAGTGAAGTCCCTAATTCGAATGTATCATCAACGTCCACCGAATCACTATAACAACCACAAATCAAACAGCAAACTAAAAATCCAACAGCTTCAGTATTTGCGCAAAAGCATTAAAAAGGCTAAAGATCGTCTATGTGATTTACAAACTCCCGCAAGTCTAGTAATGGTAAATCCAAACAAAGAGGTCTCGTGCATGTCGACTCCTTGCGACAGCACAACGATAAATTTCAGAACCTGCAAAGCAACAGCAACGACAGAATTCGTACGCGAAATGTGAAACCTAGGATGATCCGATACGCAGGTGCTGCACCCGTTAATGCACAAAATTGCAAAACATACAAGGGAGCAGTGGGGGCTAAATAAATTGATGCTTTCATTACGAAGGGAATTGAGAATGCATGAGAACCGAGAGGTAGAGAGACAAGACACGAATTGGCCAGCACGCTTGCGGCATTAACGGCAACGATGGCAGCAAACCGGTTACACAGTTCGGTGCTGACGATGCCCTAAAAACGAATGTGCTACGGATTGTTGGCCCCTGCACATCCACGACGCCATGGAGCAGTTACAGGCTTTTACTTTTTATATTTACTTTTATGAGGATAGACTTTTTTTGTAAATACTGAGTTTTTGAACCATAGTTTCCTAAAGAGTATTTTTTAGATGATGTTTTTAGATTATGTTTTCTATGATAGTTACAAAACATAAGGTGTAAACATATTTATTAAACAACATAATCTCTAAGAGAGATAGTGGGAAAAAGCCTATCATTGTGTACTTTACTAAAGGACCACTTCTAGTAGCAACTATTCCTATTCATTGTGCATTGTGCTTACTTGAGACAAGCCAATTAGAATAGCCAATTAAAATAGCCAATTAAAATAGCCAATTAAAAGGCCAATTTGTTTCACTGTTTTATCCAATTGATTTATTCCTCTTAATTGAAAGAATAATAAAATGAATGAATAAAATAAAAGGAATTTACTGTCTTATTATGAGATTGTTGATATAGTCTTAAGTATATATATACAGAGATCTGATTATTTGACACAAATGTCAGATCTCATATCATCTATACAAACTTCATTCAATGATGAAGTAAGGATGAATGTTCCAACATCCTCCCTCACTACGACATCATCAATTTGATACTTATTAATAAACTACTTGTACTTTTTAACTCTAGTTTGTGAAGGAATTTGTTTTAGATGTCTAAGGTTCATCTCAAGGATTTGTTATGTAGAAGCAATGGGTGAGAGAGGAAAAAGTAATGATCTATTTTGTATTAAGTTGGATGTGTTAATTTATGCCTATAACTATGAGTTGTAGAGAGAGAAGATGAAAAAAGGAGTAGCTTTATTAGGATTGTGCTTTTCCTATAGAAATGATATTCAATCTTGATCTAAATTTCTCAAATAGACCATGCCTCAAGGATTTGGTGAAGATGTCAACTATTTGCTCAAGAGATGGTACATAGATTAATTTAACCTCTCTCATTTTTTTTTTTTTTTTTTTTTTTTTTTTTTTTTTCTTGTGAAATAATAATGTGTAGCTATATGCTTTGTTCTTGGATTGATATCTAAATTTATTGCTATTTTTATACTCTCTTTATTGTTACAATATATTAGAATTGGTTTTTTGATTCAAAGTACAAAATTGCATGCAAGTTTATTCAAGCATGTTGCTTCTCTGGATGTTGTGGATAAGTCCATATATTTTGCTTCTAAAGATGAGAAGGCAATGGTGGCTTGATTTTTTGAGAGTTAGGTAATTAGATTGGCCTTTAATTTAAAAACAAATCTATTATTGATCGATCATGGGTTAGATCTCTTGTCCAATCTATATCCACATAGCCTAATAATATTGTTAGTGAATTTGTATGGTAGAGTATTTTATAATCTATTATTCCTACAATATACCTTAAAATTCTTATTGTTGTTGTTAAATGTCGTATTTGTGGTTTCATCATGAATCGACTAACAATCCCAACAAAGTATGAAATATTGGATCAAGAATGACCTAATTGTATAAGTTTATTAACTATAGATTGATAATAAGTTGGATCAACAATGTCTTCATTCATATCAAGAGTGAGCTTTAGTCTTTCAGCTATGGGAGTTGAAACGAAATGACATCTTTTAAGGCCAAGGTCACAAATTACTTGTAATGCATAATTTTGTTGTGTCATAAAAAATCTTTTTGGTACTTTAATTATTTCAACCTTGAAATAGAATGTCATATCATTTTCTCCTAGTTTTGATATTTCAAATTTTGATTCAAGTTCTGATTTAAACCACATGATCTATTTGATGTAATTTTATGTGAAGAAAAGATCATCTATATAGAGAATTAGAAGTAGCATTTTCCCTTGATGGTTAATAATATAAAGATTGTACTCACCTTCTCTTTTTATAAATCCTTGAGTTTGAAGAAAGGAATCAATTTTAACATACCATGCCTTTGGTGCTTATCTTAGACCATAAAGAGCTTTGTGTAGTTTGTATATTAGGTGTTCATGCTCTTCAACTATAAAACCTTGAGATTGTGTGATTGAGACTTCTTCTTTGAGATCATCATAAAGAAAAGCAATCTTGATGTCCATGTGGTATAGTTGCCATTTATTTTATGCAGATATTATGAGGAACATTCTTATGGCGAGTCATTTAACTACTAGAGCAAATGTTTCTTTGTAGCCAATGTCTTCTTATTGTTCAAAATCACAAACAATTAGTTGTATTTTTTTATTTTTTTATTTTTTTATTTTTTTTTGTAGAGTACCATTAGTTTTTATTTTTGCTTTATACACCCACTTTGTTGATATAGCTTGGTGTCCTAAAGGAAGAATAGCATTTGATCATGTCTTATTATTATGAATAGATTTTATCTCATCAATCATTTAGTTTCTTCATCGTTCATCTTGAATTACTTTGTTATATGATTTTGGTTCAAATCAGGTGAATAAGGTACAAAATTTATTGTTGGTAGTGAATTTTCACCAAGAGACGTCTCTTTTGGATCATGATCTTCTAAAAAAGTATTTGTGTTGTAAAGAATATAAGTTTTAGTTTGGAATGGTTCTTCAATATTAGAGTTTAGGTTGGGTAGAAAAAATTATTGGTCTTGATATGGATTTTGAGTGACAAGATAGATTTTGATGTTACTATACTAATGGTCAATTGGTAATGGTTCAAGGGTGCAAAAAGCATTGACCTATGGTTTAGATTCTTAAGTAAGAAAATTAACTTTGTCAAATGAAATGTCACGTGTGATTTGAATATTTTTTAAATTCTATAAGTAGACTCTATAGCCTTTCAAGATTTCATCTAAGCCCAGATGAATTTCTTAAATAGATTGAACTTCTAGTTTTTATCTTTATATTTGATCTTGATGTACAAAAAAAACACAACTAAAAATCTTGATCTTGCTTAGGTTTGATTGTGTCACGGACATAGAAATACAAACTCGAGATCTAACAAGAAGTTCAAGAAGAACTAACAAGAACTAAATTAATCAGATGAATACAAGAACAACACCAGAGAGGTGAGCTAGAGCTCCAAGAGATGTGTTGTCGAGACTGAAGAACTCTTCAGCCTCGATTCCAATATATACTCCTATTTAGAAAGCTTTTCAAGCAACTTCTACCAATTAGGAAGCTTCTAAAAGGTTCCAAAGACTTGTTTCTAAATGGTTCCAAAGATTTGTTTCTAAAAGGTTCTAGAAACTTGTCTCTAGAAGGTTCTAAGGACTATGTCCCTAACATCTTCTACCAACTAAGAAGCTTTTAGAAGGTTCCAGAGACTTGCTTCTAGAAGGTTCTAGAAACTTGTCCCTAGAAGGTCCTGAGGACTATGTCCCTAACATCACCCCCTCCTTTAGCTTCGAGGTCTCTGAGAAGCAATGTTGTTATTAATCAGTACCAACACAAAAAAATGAAGATTTGTCGCATAACGTCTACTATGAACTCCAACTGTTGTTCACGAGGGTAGTGGTTCATCGACCCTTGAAGCCAACGATAGTAGCCCACTCCTTCAACTTCTGACCAAGCATGAACTTCCGTGTCTTCATTGTGAAATTGTCCTGCAAACACGCCTTTTGGCTGACCATCGTAAGCACGCTCGGACTCAAATACAATCACCAGTGATCGGTTACTCGGTATCCTCCGTCGTCGTCATAGTATAGGCAGTTCTTCATCTTGAGGTCGCCTTCGTGAGCTAGTCGGTTGAGATAATCTGACTGGCATAGTATCTATCTTTGGCTATCCATATCAAAAGACCAAACTATGGCTATTGAAAAAGTTCTATTCTATCTTGGAGAAAATAACTACATCAATTGCGAATTTTGGTGGTGCTCTCTCCCTTTCTTATATTCTTAGGTGAGCAAGCTTTAGAAGGAAGCTATCATCGAACTGGCTTAGGTTTATGAGGATGTTGTTGATGAAACTCTTGTACCTTTTATAGCGCATTGGCGAGATTTTTAGCTGGCTCCCACGTTTGCTCATTAATGTCATAGCTGCTCCAATGAACAAGATACTCTAACTTGCCCACCTTCGCCGTGAATCCAGCACCTTTTCAACCTCGTATTCCTCGTGGTTTTCGATCTCAATACTAGGTGGTGGACATTGCACTCTTCCAGGAAAAGACAACTCTCGATAAGGCTCCAACAGAGAAACATGAAAGACTGGATGTACCTTCATAGAAGCCGGTAATTCCACACGATATCCCACTGGATTGATTTGCTTCTGAATGATAAATGGTCCCAATCTTCGATAGTCCTTGCTACTTTCCAGGTCGATAGGTGATAACACAATCGAACCTAGATAGCGACATAATCCACCGAGCTTGACGTCGATTTAGAACTCGAGCCGACATGAAATACTCCAAATTCTTGTGATCTGTATATACGGTCACTGGATGTGCAACTCCTTCAAAAAAGTGATGCCATTCTTGGAGAGAATCCACTATAGCAAGAAGTTCCTTATCGTAGATCTCATAATTGATTTCAGTGGCAGAGAACTTTCGAGAATAGAATGCAACCAGATGGAGCTTCTTGTCTTCTCCCATTTGTGAAAGTACAGCTCCCAAATCAAAATCCGAAGCATGAGTTTTAAAATAAAAGGCCTTTGTAAAGTCTGGATGTACCAAGATTGGAGCCGTAGTAAATGCGGTCTTCAGGTCTTGAAATGCCTTCTTCACTAGAGGTCCCCATTCCAGCTTAACCTTGCATGTCAATCGAGTGAGAGGAGCAGCAACTTGAGAGTAATTCTTGATGAAGATCCGATAGAAGTTGGCAAAACCAAGAAAACATTGTATGTCTTTAACCGTCTTTGGAACCTCCTAGGACACGATTGCTTCCACCTTCTTGGGTTCCATCTTCAAGCCTTCCATAGTCGCAACAAACTCCAAGAATTCCATCTCTATTTAGTGAAATAAACACTTCTCAACCTTGGAATATAATCCTCGCTTGCGTAGTTTCTCCAAGACCAAACGAACGTGCTTTTCATGCTCTT